TGCTATAAACACTCTAGACTTAATCCTATCCCGTGGAATAAGAGGTATCTAAGTCTGACTGTCTCTCCCGTCACTTCTGCAATCTCTGATCACTTTTTTATCAAGTTTGAAGCAACACTAGCCTGTCCTCACATTACTAGCTCAATTGTATTTACCACACAACACATTGGTCCAGCAACTGTAGCTGCTCTTGCTGAGAAACTACTGGAGCTAAACTGGTGTTGGCTTCCAAACCCTCTAACAGATAAGATCTCCAAAGACCTATGGCCAATGTTGGGACCATCAGTACTGAACATTATTAATTTATCACTCACTTCCGGCACTGTTCCCAGTAGCTTTAAGACTGCTGTGGTGAAACCTTTGCTTAAAAAACCACACCTTGATCCATCCTTAAATAATTATCAACCAGTCTCAAACCTACCTTTCTTTTCGAAGGTACTGGAAAGGGTTGTGTCTCAGGAGCTTTTGTCTCATTTGTCTAATAACAATCTTTTTGGACCGTTCCAGTCTGCTGCATGCAGGGCCTGTCACTCCACTGAGACAGCACTCACTAAAGTATTAAATGATCTTCTGATCTCCATGGATTCGAACTCTACCTCTGTGCTCCTCTTGCTGAATCTCAGTGCAGCTTTTGATACTATAGATCATTGTATTCTCTTAGACTGACTTGAAAGCAAATTTGGTGTTTCTGGCCTGGCCCTCACCTGGTTAAAATCCCACTTATCTGACAGAAGACACTGCATCTTCTATAATGACACTATATCAACATACTCTGTTGTGACATATGGACTACCCCAGGGCTCTGTTCTTGGCCCCTTTTTTCTCTATATATTTCACCTCTTAGTCAAATTATTTCACAGTCATGGCATTAATTTCCATTGTTATGCTGATGATACTCAGCTGTATGTACCTATAAAGGCTGATGATTCCTCTCTGATTATGAATTTAGAGGTCTGTTTGTCTGCTGTGAAAAGATGGATGTCTCATAATTTTTTGCTCCTAAATTTAGACAAAACTGAGATGCTGGTCGTTGGCCCGACCCAACACAGACACCAGTTTGAGCAATTAACAATAACTATTGATAACTGTGTGATTTCTCATAGTCTGACAGCCAAAAATCTGGGTGGCACTTTCGATTCTTCCCTCTACTTTGATCAGCACATTATCACTAAGACTGCCTTTTTTCATCTACGTAACATAGCTAGGATTCTGTCTTTTCTGTCTAAGACTGATGCTGAAATCTTAATCCATGCTTTTGTTTCATCCAGACTTGATCATTGTAACATTTTGTTTTCTGGCCTGCCACATGCTCGTATTAAAAGTCTTCAGATGGTTCATGATGTTGCAGCAAGAATTGTTACTAAATCCAGAAAGTTTGACCATATTACACAGATTTTAGCTTCCCTTCATTGGCTTCCTGTCCATATCAGATCATACTTTAAGGTGCTTTTGATTGCATATAAGGTTCTATATGGACTTGCTCCTTCATACCCGTCTGATCTGCTTAAATCTTATACTCCATCTCGTGCTCTCCATTCCCAGAATTTAGGGCTCCTATCTGTTCTCAGAGTTAAAAAGACATCAGCTGGCTGCAGAGCCTTTTCCTATCGGGCCCCTCTGTTCTGGAACAACCTTCCTGCTGACATCAGACTGTCTTACTCCGTTCAGACTTTCAAACTTACTTACTTACTTTCATACTTAAAACGTATTTTTATGTCTTAACTCTCAGTTAGCTTCTTATTCAGGCTTTGTACCTGTTTGTACCACCGGCGGGTGGGCCTCAGTCTCAATAAATCAGTAAACTCAGTGCAGTATAGAACAGGTTGTCCTGCCGACGAGATCACTTTAAACTTTCTGAAAACCACTGCATAATTCTAACCGTTTGTTTCTTCCCTCAAGCACATGAAGCACCCAGGCTGTGTGCCTCTCTCTCTCTCCCTTCTCCTCCTTTATCTCCTTCCTGTTACTCTCTGCGGGTCCTCCTGCCTCCAGAGCTGTAGAGTCTGGATCTGCAACTGCAAACCACCTACTGCCCTCATGATCCTGTTTAACACCTGCTGCTAAACCTGATAAAATTTACTATAATTTGTAATGATAATTATTAATGTTATTAGCCGTCATTGCTATTTTTATCAGTATTAGCACTACAGATACCATTACATTACTATTGCTGTTACTGTCGCTACTATCATTATTATTAATATTGCTATCATTGCATGTTCTTTTCCTCTGTGCTTTCTCTTGCTCTCTCTTTCTCTTTCTCTCTCTCTCTCTCTCTCTCTCTCTCGCTCTCTCGCTCTCTCTCGCGCTCTCTCTCTCTCTGTGTCTCCTAACCCAACCGTTCAAGGCAGATGGCCACCCACCCTGAGTCCGGTTCTGCCCGAGGTTTCTGCCTCTTAAAAGGAAGTTTTTCCTTGTCACTGTCACGTAGTGCTGCTCTTGGTGGGAATTGTTGGGTCTCTGTAAAAAATATTATAAAAAGAAGGTCTAGACCTGCTCTATTTGGAAAATGACTTGAGATAACTTATGTTGTGAATTGGCACTATACAAATAAAATTGATTTGACTTGACATCAACACATTTATTATGATTCAGCCTAGTGTCTGCTGGTTTCAGTCCAGTGTCAGCTGATTTCAGTCTAGTGTCAGCTGGTTTCAGTCTAGTGTCAGCTGGTTTCAGTCCAGTGTCCAGTAGACACTGCAGACTGTAAACGTCTCCTAAAAAAAACTGTTTGTGCCAATTGATTTTGAAAGGGGCATTGGGGAAACTCCATTTCAGTCATGTGGCATTCAGCTGACCAATGATAAAACTACAATCACTCAGTCAGTCAGTCAGTCAGTCAGTCAGATGCCGCCACTCTGAGTTAAACTGCATTGTATGTAACATGACCTAAATCACTCAATGCACAATCACCATTATTACTCACTGCTTCACAGTTATTGTGAAACCATGAATATTAATGCTAGTTTTTTCAGATTTCGAATTCACTCATAGTGATGAACCACTGAGTATAATCACTTACTTATGCAGCTTTCTAGCCTCTTTTAGCTGCTTGTTTCATTGTTACAGCCCACACTCTGACCTCATCAACTTCCTCTCCAGCAGCAGGCAGCTGGGGTTTTTTGTTGTTTGTTTTTTTAAGATTATGTTTTCATCGTTTTGCTTTTATTGAACAGTCCTTGTTGAGAGACAGGAAATGTGAGGAGAGCAATGACATGCAAGAAAGAGCCAAACTGTGGGCGCTATGTGGTATGTGCCTTAACCATTAGGCTACCTGGGAACCCCAGGCAGATGTTTTCATTGAAAACGCTCTGATAAACCCACAGAAAAAACGGCTGCCCGGTACCAAACAGCAGACAAACACCATTGATGTGCTGGTGAACATGGTGGAAAATATAGCATAGATAGCATAGATAGCATAGATAGATAGATAGATAGATAGATAGATAGCTCGCTAGATAGATACTTTATTTATCCCCTAGGGGAAATTCATGTTAATGGATAGGATGCAGACATGTTACCATGGGCCCTGCTGAATGAAAACCTGCTGTTGCTCCTGTGACAATAAAGCAGTAAGAATCTTTATTCACTTGAAACTGGCTCATGGAAATGCATCTTAAGGGCCCAGCACTTCAAAATGTGGCTAGATTTCACAACAAGCAACATGTGTCTGCACCAGTTGTACCAAGAAAAATCTTAAGAGTGTTATAGTTTATGTTCAATATAATTCAAATTCTGTATGTGTGTTAGGGGGGACCTAAAGAACTCCAACACGGAGTTAATGCATCTGTCTTTCATTACCATGTGAACCCCCCACCCTCCAGCCCCCAACCCCCACACATAAACACCTCCTCTGTCTATCTATCTATGTCTCTCTTTCTTCAGCCCATCCTCCTACACTGTTTAGACGGTAAAGTAGGAGAGACAGCAGTAAGAGGTGAGCGGGAGGTCAGTATGTGAGAGTGTCACATCTAATTGGTAGAGGATGATGAGGGGAGGACAGGAGAGGAAGAGGGGAGAAAAGAAAAGCAAGACAAGAGGAAGTGGAATCAGTGAATAAACTGGAAAGCGAGGAAAATGAGGAGAAGAGTGTGGGGTGAAAAGGAAAAAAATTTGATGAAAATGGAAAGAGGAGTAAAAGGGGCAGACATGAGAGGAGAAAATGGGAGGAGAAAGAAAGGGGAAGAAGGGGGGAGACAGAGGGCCAACAGTGAGGGCAGAGTGGTGTTAATCTTGGTTGACAGAAACTTCCGCAAGTCTGACAGGGGAAGGTCAAAGGTAACAAACACACACATTCTGTCAACACTCTACCTATATTCCATGTGTGTGTTGCCACGTTTCTACTCACTCTGCCACAGTGTGTTATTCCATCCATTAGTTACACAACTTATCCTTTGACGGGACCAATGTGACCATGTTATCATATACAGAAAACGTCAAAAGGAAGGTGCCTGATCCTGATCAGATGCCTGAACCGAACCACCTCAACTGGCCTATTTCAACTTCAGCAGCAGCTCTACTCTGAGCTCCCTCCCAACTTAGAGAGGGCAATCCACTGTTTTTCGCCAGAGAACCACAGCCTCAGAACTGGAGGTGCTGAAACTCATCAACAACGTCACAAAGACTGAATGGCGCGTAGCAACTGCCCCTGTACCCCATACCCCCATGCACCCCACAAGACATCCTGGGGGACACGGTCATGACCCTTCCACAAAAGTCCAAAAAACTTGTGTAGACTGAATGGGCAAACTCCCATGACAGTTCATTAGTAACCATGCAAGGGTAAAGAGCTGTTCCATGACCAGGACAGAATCCACATTGCTTGTCCTGGATCTGAGGTTGACGGTCAAGATGTACCTGGTTTGAGCTACCACAGATGGTCATGTTCACTTGTGTGAACTATGGTTATGTTTGTACCCAGTTTCCATAGTGGTCCCCACAAAAATTACTTTCCATCTACATTTGTGTGTGCATCGATATAGCTATTTTAAACACACTACCTCTGTATGAGACAGTGTCTCTCCTGACTCCTCACTCCTCCTCCACAGCTCCTGGAACAAGAGGACCAACTGGACCACTCCCCCCACCACTGAAACACCTCCTCCTAGAAGAGAGAATACAACAGTCAGAAAAAACAACCGGAACAAGCATGTTATTTCAACTAGGGAGAGGTGTAACTTATCAAACAGCAGTTTGGGAATTGAAGTATTATTACAATTGTTGGTCCTCCTTTATTCTGGCAGCGGAGGTAGTCACAGAGCCAAATCGACATCTGTATAAAATGAAGAGATGGCATTGCGGGACAGACACCCACGCCTCTGATTCTGGTATGCCGGCATGCATTAAAAACACACACTGGAGCGTCAATATGTCAGCTTTGTTTTGTTCAGTGTAAACAGGCAAAGGTGGCATAATGAAGGTTCTTCTTAACTCCAAAAGAGCCTGAGTAAAAAGGGCTTCACATATTGATTTGAGTCAGACACAAATTAAATTCACATTAAAAAAAGATTGAAGAGTGTGAGTGTGTAACTGCAGTACCTTGTTGCTTGTCTGTTTGACATTCAGACTTCCATGGCTGTGTGATTGTAGATGGATGGTACCCTGCTCCACCCTCCCTTCACTTCTGTCCTGGCAGACACACATCACATACACAGACACATATACATATACATGAACTTGGAAGACATGTACCCAGAAATCTCAATTCAGTTGAACTGACCCTGACTGGTAAAACTACATCTAAAAGTTGTCTGTAATCTGCTGACCACAACGCTCAAATGTCTTTGTGGCTAACTTTGTGCTGTTGTGATTAGCTAGCACATGTGATTTCAATGGTTATGCTGTCCACTGCAACTTCACAAGGTTAAAATATATTATAACTGAGTTTTGGGTTTGACAGGAACCATGTCTATTTAGTTTTTAGCATTGTAAGAAGAAGACAGTTTAACTTTTTGTATGTGATGAACCAATAACTAAATAGCACAAGGTGTACTATTCAGCTAGTATGTAACAGGTTCATGTTTGGTCAAATTATGACCAACAGATTTGAATATCTCAATAAATGTATTTAATCAGATATTGGTTGTCAATTGCAAAATGTATTTGTGTGTGTAACGATATCTCACCCCAGTTTCTTCCTCCTCACTGCCAATCATCTGCTCTAACTGGTTTTGTTTACATGCAGAGAGACAGCCAGACTTCTTTAGGTTTCACTGTTTCTATTTGATTTAACCATTTTCAGCTACTAGATAAATATTCACCATTTGAATTTAGTATTTGAATATTGAATGAAATGACTAACTTAAAAGCAGCTGATTAAAACTGATAACTAAATCAAATACACTGTACAGAATGTTTCCATGGCTTTAGGAAACAACCTGATGCTTTATGAAATGATTAATCAAGCAACATTACACTAACATTTTTTGGATAGCTATCATATTAAAAAGTTAACCACTGGAATCATAATTGAAACGGCACATCAACAAACATTAATATTTTTTGAGATAAAAAGAATAATGGAGGGCCCTTGATCTATACTTTTAGCATTTACCAGCAGCAGGTTTATAAACAAAGTGGAGGAATGGAGAACAGTCCAGTCAATGTTGGCAGGGTTGATATTATGAGTCAGTATTATCAGAGATACATCTATATCAATTTACAGAATTGCCAACCTAAAGACAATGGCACAACTACATAGTCCAGCACAAGTATATTTTTCAGCTGTAAGTAGTTCTCTTCAGTACATGTCTTGGTCGCTAATTAAAGAAAAAAAAAATTAAGGGATCTCATCAAAATATTTCTTTATGTTTTTAGGTTTAAAAAAATAATACCAGAAGATATATTGGTAAATCCCAGTTATGGAGTCCCTTTTGACTTAACCAGAAAATGCATTTGTCCAGGAAACACTTACATGACCATATAAGTGCAAGACATGAATGGATATGAGAAAAAGTTAAAGTCTCTGAAAATGAAAATGAATTTCATTTAAGCAAGATTCCTTGATTGGAAAAGTAAGATCAGGCTAGTTTGCTGAAGTGGCTCTTAGATATTAGGTTTGAATCAAAACAGCACACTAACAGTTTTCACAAACAGGGCTATAACAAATGGAATGGAATATAAAAAATACACTAATATATAATATGTCTGGACTGTTGCTCAATATACTTAAATGTGTATGCATATATATACATATATATATATATATATGCATCTTTTCTCAGTGTACTGAGAAAAGATGCATGTAGTTAAATTAAGCGTTTCGTCTGCTATTTCAAACTAAGTGATGTTACCACAATGAACGTAAACCTTTAAATAGAAAGCATTGCGTCACCACTGCTACAGTGCATTACGTTTGCGTGTAATAATGTACAAAGACTGCTTAACTACTGTTGGAAGACACTGTCTTTAAATAACCTTTGCCAAAAAAGCATATTAGATGTCATGCCAATTGTTGTGTGCATTACACAACTATCCCTTTTTACTGCTGCCATCATTTTTATGTGTAGTCAACTTGATCCATGAAGCTCAGCTCCACATCCACAAACCCAGGGCTCTTTTAAATTCTCTATACAGTAAAGTTTTTTTCTTTCATTGCCAAGAATAAATGGACTGAAGTAAGAAATCTGTGCTAACCAAACAAACATGGGGCAGCTTATCAGCCATCTCTGGGAATGTTCAGTTCACTTACATACACAGAAACCAAGAGTGTTTATCATTTAGAGGAAGAACTGTGAATGCTGGTGGTTACTACTGAGGAAAAAGTGTCTGCAAACAATTGATTGCACTTTGAATATGCATCTGTTTAGAGTTTCATGAGACCTCAACCCTGCTGGGCTGGCTGACTGATGGCTGTCAGCATGTTGTCTTATTTACACAAACAATCAAGCCTCCTGGTCAGGCAGCAGATCAGTCTGTTAGTTTGTCAGTCACCTAACACTAATTTAGCCCACAGTCAACAGTGCAGCCAAATGGCCGGTCAATGATGTGAAGGAAGAGATGTTTCTATCCTACAATCTATGTGACCGGAGTCAATATAATGTTTCCTTCACTGATAGCTATTGTCTGTTTGACAAACTAAATTACTTAATCACTTATATACTTGGCCACATGAAGAAAGACAAATAGATTTTCCCTACAAGTAAAAGCTGCATAGTTTAAATGATTGTCTTTAAGGGGGATTAATCAACATAACTGTTAAGTACTGTTTGTGGACTAAAACTACCAAAGAATTAATGAATTGTTTCATGTTGAATTGTTCATCCAAATTCACAATATTAAGCAGTATCTCAGTGAGTTACTGTGATTTGCAACTAAATTAACATAATATCTAAATCTCTAATGTAGGTAGATTTTCCACTGCCAGAGATCTACATTTATTTCGGATAGTATAGATAGCACAGACAAATACACAAACACGTAAATATAAACATAAACCTATTATTCACATGAGTTGCATTTGCAACCATCTGCCTGAATAAAACATGAATATAGTTACAAACATTGCTTCTGTTACATCCAATAAAATGGTCAAGTTCAACAAGGCTGCTGTTTTTAGCTACATCATCATAAACAAACAGATAAATTGACGCAGATAAACATTTTACCCCACTCAGAGAGAATTTTAATATGGTGATTACAATAAACCTCACACAACAGGTCACGATCATTTGATGTGGTTTGATCTGAGTATAAATCCGATGGAACCTCATTCTTCAGTGTTACAACTGGTTTGGAGAGAGAGGGGTAACCAAACACCATTTACAACTGACATCATTCATGTCACTTCACTGCTGCCTTGTTTATCGTCTAATGAAAACACATGTTTAGACAGTAGTTACCGTTCATTCCTTGACGCATCCAAGCATCCGAGACCAGAGTTAATTCAAAAACAGCATCAACTTTCTCGGAGGTTCGCCTCAGAGAACAGTGATGTTCCCGCAGTTGGTAACAGTTAGCTTACCTTCACATACACAATAACACTGTGGTTATGTGGCTTTTCGAAGCCCGAACTTCTCTGGGGAGAGAAATTTAACTCAGACATTACCGTTACTGAGTTAATTACATCTTTGAAAATGTCTCCAAGAATTAATTTAAGCAGAAAAGTAGACAGTGCTCTGAACGATAAGGAAGGCAGCATCAAAGTGACAGACTTGAGAAGTGACTACTCTCCATTGGAGCAAACTACTAGTCCCCCCTCATAACTTTAAACCACTGTGCTAATGGATAAATACAGTGAACAAACGGCTATTCCGCAAGCTATTTACCTTAACGGGCCAGTTGTTCGTTAGCGGGAGAACCGGGAGGTGTAGCAGGAGAAAGGAGCAAACCGGGAGAGCTAACCCTCCGTTCCCGAACATGGTTCATTCATGTCATGGACCGACAACTCTCGCCCTCCCCTTACCTCCGCTCCCCACCGAACTCCACTACTTCTGCCCACTTCGCTCCTCCCACTTCGACCCCTTTTTTGATGTAGCCACGCCTCCTTGGGTTGCTCGCGCTCACAAAAGTACGCACGCGCACAGGGACACCTTCACTTGTTTGAGTAACGTGGTTGTGCAGCAGTATTCAATATATCCCGGTGAGTAAGACATACATCAAGAAAAGGGTGACAGACAGAGGTGGACAAAGTTCACAGCTCCATTAGGCTATTTGAGCCACCAAAGTATAGCTCCTCTGGTCAAATATGACTCCAATACAAGTGAAAGATGTTCAGTCAGATTTTTACTTGAGTTAAAGTATTTGAGTCACCTACTTGATGTTAGAAATACTAAACTACAAAAAGTAGCCTGCATTTTTGCTATTTTGTGTATGTATTTATGTATTATTTCATTGTTCCACAGTGTATGTACAGAACCTATGACTCTGAAACAACCTGCTGACTGACTGATTGTTGAACCTGTAGAATAAAAAGCATGTAGAATATGTTACAAATCTTATAGAAATTACCATAAAAACACAACTGAATTAATAAAAGGACAGCCATTGCTGTTTTCGTATTTCTTTTTTAGGCATTAATGAAGTTTGGTCATGGTGAACACAGCAAACATTTAAAACTAAATGAATCTTTTTCTAAAATCTTTAAAATTTCAAACATCAGTAGACCTGCCAGTGCCAAGTGTTCAACAATGCAAATGCAGCATGCACAACATGACTGAGGGTAGTTCGCTGTGATTGGTTTTTCTCCTGTGATGAACACAGTGTATGGTCTATCACATTTTCAAAATAAAATAAAATAAATTCCACAGACTAAAAGCTGCTTCAAAGTAAGAGTATGCATAGAAATGTATTGGTGTCAAAAGTACAATATTTGTCTTTTAAGTGTAGTGGAGTCAAAGTCATAAGTTTCCAAAAACTAAGTGCAAGTAAATGTACTTAGTTGCTGTCCAACACTGGTGACATATCATGTGTCAGTTTATACAACAGAGCTATTGGCAATATTATTGGCCCTGCAGTGGATAGAGGAAAATGAGATAAAAAACACCGTGATAACATCTGATAGCTACTCAGCATTTACAAGCATAAAAACAAGCAGATCACTAAGAACAGACGTCATCAATGAAATATTCATTATAATGTACAGAATGGAGATTAAGGGTATATCTACACACTTCCTTTGGGTCCCTGCTCAAGGTGGTATAGAGGAAAATGAAGAGGTGGATATTCTGGGTAAACAAACTGTCAGAATTAAGCAACTAGACCTCCAAGTCCCATTAAACAAACCTGAAGCTAAAATATTCCTTTGGACATGTGCACAATGAGTATGACAGGAGTATTGGGATAACAGTGAAACTGGGAGGAATTTATATAATATAGAGACACCTTGGTGCTGGGAGGGTGGCGAGCAGAAAAAGAAAATATCATCACTCATCTGAGAATAGGTCATACAGGACTCAACCATACATTACATAAGATAAACAAGCATCCAATTGGGAAATGCACACATTGTAACAAACCAGAACCAGTCAACATGTACTACTTCGGAGGGAATAGAATATTAAGAGGAATCACTTTTTTCAGTATAGGAGGCAAAACACAATGGTCTCAGGTCTCTTGGGGAACTCTGCAACTCTTTTTGTCTATTAAGACATAATTTTCCTTGAGGAACATTTGGAGGTTCTTCAATTTGAAACTGCAGAAGGAACCTCTTTGAGGAACCTTCAAGAAAAGGTTCTTAGAAGAACTCGCTCTTAAAGATAAAAGCTCTGTGAGGGAACCATTTTAGAAGTGTTGTAATTATTATTATTATTATTATTATTATTATTATTATTATTATTATTATAGAATTAATTATTAATAAATTATTAATTAATCCCCAGCCAATTCACTGGCACTTGATAAATGAATTTATGCAGTTATGAAAATAAAAAAATTCAACCATAATTATTACTAATGGCTACTGACTATTGATTATTGATAGAGGAAAGATGTTTCTGCCAGTTCCCCACAAGCTCAGTCTCCAGTCCAGCTGAAGCAGAGATTTGTAGTCACTTTCCCAAAATGATTTTCAACACATAGTTTTGTTTCATTTTTAATTGAAAAATTACGTTAGTTGCCATCCCATTCAGCAAGCTATTATGCCCATAGTTTCATCAGCGTCTTGTTATCTCATCACTGTGTGTTCTTTCCAGCCTCAACCTGTCCCTCCAAACCTCTACTTGATTCAAAAATTTGTTCCTATGCCCCTTTGCTCCAGTTGGTGTGTGGGCAATCACTTTAACACCACACTGTGAGGTCACAAAATGCTGTTGAATGCATATAGTCTAGTCTATTTTACCTGCCTCACACTGAAATATAGAATAGTCATTTAAATTGTGTTTAAACAATGGTTTTATACATCTAATAACTTTCATACAATTTAAGACATATTTTGACCTGCAAATTAACAGTCTATTTACTTTTAGCTACTATCAATTTCTAATATGCTATAGTAGAGCACTGAAGTCTTCTAGTGGTATAAATATAAATCTACATCACAGTAGACACTGGATAAATAGAATCTCAGTGAATGAATGAATGAATGAATGTGATTCTGATATAAAAGAGAGTAAAAAGGACATATTGCTTCCCTCTTCTCTTCCAGAAGATTAGTTTCAATTAAACAAAAACTTATTTTTTGATGAATTGGTTTTTGCACTTCAGAATTAAGGCTACACAAGGTTCTGCTGTATTTGACAGTCTGTCAATGCATTCATTAGTTTATGTGGTGGTTTAAGAAAGTGATTTATCAGTGTGTCCCTCAGATCCAGTGCAATGAATACATGCATTCCTCTCCAATAATGTAATTTTGCATTTTAAGTTGGTGAACAATGAATGTGCACAAAGAGCAAATACACGCTGTCCGGTGTTTCATCTTACCATGCTCCTCGTTCCTGATTCGGGACTCCGGCTCTGGCATAGCGCCTCGATTTCCCAGACTACAACGCTTCCTGTGCATCCGCCATATTGCCTTCGCCTGAACGCGCTGGCTGGATCGGTTCGTACCCACAACTGAAAATGTAAGTACAGAAACAATCATATTTTACCCCATTTATAAATATTTGGCCGTTGTGTCTGCATTTGTGTATCACCGACCATTCCCGCTGTTTAAATGTCGGAAATGAGGTTAAAAAACCACGTATCTAACCTCAGAAGACTGATACGTCGGGTCTTTTCTCTGTTGTTGTTTTTCCCTCTGTCACAACGACAAATTACATTCACGACTCCCTCGCAATATTTCAGATATTAGCTTCTTGTATCATTAATTGTAAAATTTAAATGGACACAATGATATTGTTTCCCACGTCCTGTACATCAGTGGTCTTCTGTCGGATTCATACATGCTATATCTTGGGCTTATTTTGCCTCTAATGTTAGCGTTACGGAGAATAGCTACCCTCTGTGGAAGCTAGGTCGCATTAGCCGAGCACCATGGATTTTACATGAAATATGTGCGTGGGGTCTGTCTATTAACTGCGGTTGATTAGCTAGTACCGATATAAGACATTGAATCAAGTGTATCCCCCTTGTATTTTGCTAGCGAGCAAAACTATAAATGACAACAGCCGAAGAGAACACGTCTGTAATTTGAGTCAGTAGTTATGAGACGTTGGGTTCTGTTTATTGACATGAATTAATGATTGCGGCACAGAGACCGTATAAGTTTAACAACACTTAGACAGAAAAACGGATAATTAAAGTATCCGTTTTCGTGTTGTTTATCTTTACATTTTTAAGCCTATGTGAAAAGATACACAAGTTTACCTCAAACCAGCCAGTGTGTTTAATCTGGACCACCCCCACTACCACACTGTCTGTCACATGTATGGCAGTATGGTCATGAAAACGCAGCAATCTGAGAGCAGATATGAAGAATCCAGCTTTCCTTACTTGTCATGTAGCTCATCAGGCCTAATATCCAGTGTGGGTAACCCCTGGATGTACACAAGATATTATGGTCATGAATTAAAGCTATGCACACCACAAAGGTCTTCGGTGCATTGATGAAGAGGCAAAGAGCAACGCTGAACTGTCAATTTAAATGAACTGAATTGAGATGTTTGAATAATGACTAACATTTAAAAGAGAATTTATTATTCATTTTCCTGAAGAAATTATAAAAATGATGATGATGTGATTTTTGTCTTGTACCAAACAAGCATGTTCCTTTACTTTGGGAGAATTTGAATTGTAGTGTGGGGCGTCTCTGTAGCACCACAACACTTATGATACAATACACAACAATGTTGTGACACATTTTTACCTTTATCAAAGAAATTGCAGCTCCTGAGGTATGGATATTGCACTTGGCCATATTGTGATTTCGATTATATTTTTCGATAAATTGTGCAGCTCTAGTTAATTTCTATCAAATTCATGACCTAAATGTCTTTAATTTCGGATTTTAAAATATAAATTCCCTTTTTGATGTCTTTCAACTTTTGTTGTGTTTTACATTGTCATTACTTTTAGACATCAGTTAAAAAGGCCTAAGGACAAAATGGCATGAATAGATGCTTGCTGTAGCCTAGTGTAGTGTGGACCTCCTGAAATCTTTTTTATAAATATTTGGGACATGAAACTTTTCCTCTAGTGATTATAATTGTAATATTTTCCCAGATCTGTAAACAAATGTGTGTTTATGAAAGCGTGACACATGTAATCGAATAATTAAACATTTTGCGTAAGGCTCAAAACTGAATTAATTAAAATGTATTACTAAACAGCTCTAAAGTGACATAATTTGGACAATTAACATAATGAGTCAATTTTAGATATTTCTTCCAATCCAATTCAAACCTTCTCACGAGTCTTCAGTGTCAGTATAAGAGGTATCCATCTGTAAAACAAGAAGCAGCTGACTGTGAACTTCTCTTTTCCCATTAATTCAATTCTAAATAAAAAAGCTACCCCTCTTTCATTAAATATAAACCATTACTGTTTCATATAGATTTACGGATATATGTTCTATTGACAGTGGAGTTAACTTGAAATGTATACAGTGTGTGCACAGTTGAAAATCAAATCCGGATGAGGAAAAAAAAAAATGTTGTGGAAAAAAAGTTGCAACTTTACAGAGGGGTGTTTACTATGGTTGTAATCATATGGTCAGATTTATTTAGAGCTAAATTCAGGAGGTAGAATGGGTTGTCCAGTGATTACAACAATAACAAAAGCTTTCAGTTGTTTTGTCACACTAGTGTATGCCATCATGCTATGTTATGTCATGTTATGTTCTGTATGTAACATGTATGTTATTTTGTCTTGCCTTTCTGAAAAAAAAAAAAAAAGTGCAGACTGTTTATCTGCAACCACCAGTAATCTTAACCAGAGGTTGTCATTGGATCCCAGAAAGAAAGACCATGTGTTTTTGTGTATTTCAGTTTTGCAGCAATGACTCAGACAGTTCAGACCAATGGGGTCCAACCCCTCAGTAAGACCTGGGAACTGAGTCTGTATGAGCTACAGAGAACTCCACAGGTAACCGTTCACACCTTATCAATTCAATCACGTTTGACTTCTCAAAATCAGTGTGCTGATGCATGTTGCATCATGTTTGCAGCATGTTCATCTGTTTCTGGTGTAGAGCTATTACCTTTTTATTATTAAAGTTTTATTTATGTATTCAGATATACCCATGGTAAACGTACATATTTACATATGTACAATCAGATCATTCCACGAGTCCCACTCGTGCTGTGAGCAAAAAAACAGCCCCAAGATCACCTTCATCATTGACATTAACTAACATGTTCATATGATACTATCTCTAACATGGACTCCATCATTTTTTAAGATCTGAGGAGGAAGTATGTAGAGCATTTAAATAATTTTTAAGACTCAGTGTTACCGCCTCATATTTGATTGATTTGTTTCTATGCCATCATCAAGTTTGGCAAGACTTTTCTCAGAGCAATGTATCACAAACCTGCACCCTCAGTATATGGGACACATAATCAGTTCATATGAGTTGATGATGGATTTTTTCCTTTTATCACCTTACTTTTATTTTTGGTTATTTATGTTATTTCTACTTTTATTTGGTTTTTCTCACCTCCAAATGTCTGTGTTGCAGCATTTTGTTATTCTATCTTTACTATTTTGCTTTCATTTATTAGATTTTTAATACCCTACCTTTTATTTCTTGTTTTACTCACTTTAATACATGTCCTCTGTTTTATTATTTTATTATCTTATCTTCATCACTCTATTGTTATCTTTGCTTTCCAGTCGTCAGTGTTTCCTCAGTGCGGGGTGGGGGGTGTTAATTGTTTTTATTCTGTAAAGACTGATAAGTCTGATGTTATAACTATCTCAGTTTAACAGTGTTGTGTGCAATATCCAAAACATCATTTGTGGTTCTGAGAGTTTGAAAGCATCAGTCAGATCTGTGGACTGTGCTGTATCAGTTGTGTACCACTCTTCAGATAGATGTATCTGTGTGTGTACTAACCGACATCTTAATCTGTTTCGTACTGGCACAGGAAGCAATAACAGATGGACTGGAGATAGCAGTGTCGCCCAGGTCCTTGCACAGCGAACTAATGTGTCCTATCTGTCTGGACATGCTGAAGAACACAATGACAACTAAAGAATGTCTGCACCGCTTCTGCGCTGATTGTATCATCACAGCTTTGAGATCTGGGTGAGTTTGTGCCTAGCAGTAGAAACCAAGAGTCCCCCCCCCGTCCTGTGGTGGTATTCAGGTTTCTGATTATCTTAACACAGTGTGGGAACTAATTGAGCAATTCAGAATGAGTAATGATGACCTCAGAGGGAAGGGAGAGTGTCAGGTGTGGTCTCCACAGTCAGACAAGAGAATGGTTATGAAAGAACAGTTGTTCTTCTTTAAGAACGATGTAAACTACTGTAAATCTGCTCATTATAGTGTTTAGACCCAAAACGCGACTGTTATTGATGTTGTCATCTCATACAGCAGTCTAACATTAGCCCAGTTATGAGACACTTCACTCAGGCTAGACATGTTGCCAGCTATGGTAACTTCTGAGGGAGTTTAAAGTTGAGTGTCCAGTACTAACATTAATGTAACATGAATAGGTCTAAACATAGTATATGTCTGGACCGTCTATGGTCAAATCCTGATTTTATAACTGTGACATTGTTTGACAAAGAGGGAGAGGATGACTGCCTGTAACAAGAGGTGTACCCCTAAGCACTAACCCTACCCATACATGGTCCAGACCTGAACCAGGTTTATACCCAGTCTGTTAGAAAAAAGTCCCTAAATCTAGAGACAATGAGCTAATAGGACCTGTTTGACCCAGAAACTCCAACTCAGTGATGAGGAAATAACATCAGTCAGTCAGTCAGTCAGTCAGTCAGTCAGTGACTGTATTGAGTTAACACTAATGCTACCTAATGTCAACTATCACTGTAGCTTACTGTCTAATGTCAGGTTCTGTGCAGGCAGTGGCTTGTTGCACAAATCTCCCAGGTAGATACGAAATGAGTCCTGAAGTTTCACAATGTCAAGTTTTATTCAGACAACACAGACGGCAATCTAAACAAGCAGTGTGACTGGCATCAGATGATGGTGTTGTTACTTACTTGCTGAAACACACAGAGCACCTGGAAGGGTGTGTTTGATTTATTGTTCCCATTCTTTCCAAATTTGTGGACTGCCGTGCTATTCAAGATGTCGTTTGCATCAGACAAGGATGAATAATAATAATCATAATAGTAATGGCGTTGCTATAATATACTGTACTGTACTATAGATATACCAAATGTCTTATAGTATAAGGGAATGATTGAAATGTCTTTCTGTAAGTGTTACAATATATGGCCCCTATAATTATTAAATAATTTTAAAAAAAAGATTATTTTTATTATTTGGCTGTCAGGCCAGTGAGAATATACAATGATCTACAGGCCAAGTGGCTAGTGGGGAGAAAATGTTATGTTGACTATCCCTGATATCACTAGTGTCAGATACTAATGTCACTCACAGCATGAAGTTGAGGGTGATAAACCGGAGCATACATTATGGACAAAAATAACCTGTTGGATACAGAATTATTGTTAAAAGGATATGGTCACATTATAAGTCCATTATAAGACCCCATGTGTTTAAGCAGTTTCGGTGTAAATGATGGGAGATTCAATCCACAGTCCCTCTAGTGAAGAATAATTAGCTTTAGCTGAACTTAAGGAATATTATTTATTTTATTTTCATTTTGTTTAGAAACCCTCCCTGGTCCTGACAACATTCAGGCAGCAGCTTCTCATTTAAAGTCAGTCACTTTATTGGTTAAAATGAAAATGGCAGTCAATATTAGTTGTTAATATCTAATATTAATACCAATACTAACATGAAACTGGATTCAGATTGGATAAAATGCTGTCGAGTCCTAACCCTGTTTTCAAAAGCCTGAAATAAATCACTTGACTCTTTTGAAAAGGGATGTAGCACAATGCAGTGTAGAACCCTGATATGGGCATGAAAGTGTTGTTTCAAGACACATTTAAACAAATGTGAACCTGTGCTTTAAATTTTTTATAGGACACCTACACAATGTTGCTGTTAAAATCAGATATTCAGGCCACCAACCATTAAATCGCAGTAAATGATATGTTATTACACTGCTTGTCATCGAGCTTAGACAAGCACTCACTCATTAGTCAGCAGCTCTTTTATTCCTCTCAGCAGTGACATTTGTTCTGATGTGGTTTTACCACAAACCCTCTAAAAGGGTTCTAAGTAAATGTCAAACAAAAGGTTTGTGTGGATCAGTTATGTGTTGTTATGAAGTGTGCTCTAAAGTACCCACATTTCATTTAGTTTTTTTGTTTGTTTTTAACAACTTTTTTTTGACAAATTAGACGATGAAAAAATTAAAAGAAAACCAACATAAAATGTCATAGTCAGGAGCTGCCACCAGAACAGCTAGGCTATGTCCACACGACTACGTTTTCATTTTAAAATGCATCTCTTTTCCTACATTTCCCCCTCCCGTCCACACGACTCCAGAGTTTGGAAACTCTGCTGGACCCATTTTACTTTGAAAACTCTGGGGTTGTGTTTTATTTTGAAAACTCTTGGGTTGTGTTGTATCTGGACTGACAGAAACTGAGACATTTGAAATCAATGACGTAGACACCCACAGTCTCTCCTGATTGGCTCTCACTCACGTACTACCAGTTGTGAATATAACATGATAATGAATTACAGTGTTACTGACCTTGTTGTCTTTGCTAGCAGCTGTTGTTCACTTACATTCTGCATTTTAATGTTACAGCTGTGTTTTTTGTTCCTCGTTCAGAGTATTTACTGTAACTAATCAACTGCAGAGGAGACAATCTGCTTCCTGTTTACAACAACTCGCACATGCCCAGTGTACATGATTGCTCATGAATGTAAGTGTGTTCAGGTGTGTTAGTCTGGACAGAGAACATTTTTGTTTAAAAATGAAAACATAGTTGTGTGGACGTAGCCTCAGTGATCCGTCGAGAGCGCTGTCTAACATATCAGACCAAAATCTCCTATAGGTTTTCAATTGGATTGAGATCTGTGACTGTGAAGTCCATAGCATAAGATTCACATAATTTTCATTTTCAAACCATTCAGTGCCAGAGGTATAATATGACCAGAATCACGCTCACACATTGATTGACAGCCATGAGCTCAAACCCCTTGGCCTTCTCTGATTGGTTAGAAGGAAAATCGCTGCACTGCTGGCAGGCTGTTCCATGAGTCTGGGTCACCTCTCTCAACTCAAATATATCAGGAAAAATTTGCATACTGTAGCTTTAACAATAGTAGTCACACTGTTGCAATGGCATTGTTGTTTCATTTGTGTGTCTGTCCTCCATGTCTCCGCAGTAATAAAGAGTGTCCCACCTGTCGTAAGAAGCTGGTGTCTAAGAGGTCGCTGCGCCCAGACCCGAACTTTGATGCCCTGATTAGTAAGTAACCAAAGGAAGGAGGTTTAATCTGGATCAACTGTTTGTCACAGTTTAGTCAGCATACAGTGTTATACTCATTGATCCCATTTCAGGTAAGATTTATCCCAGCCGTGACGAGTACGAAGCCCACCAGGAGAGAGTGTTGGCCCGCATCAGCAAACACAACAACCAGCAAGCCCTGTCCCACAGCATAGAGGAGGGGCTGAAGATACAGGCTATGACCAGGTACACAAGCCGGTCTCCACACACACAAGTATAGAGTAAAATATAAAAATATAATAATAATAATAATAATAATAATAATGATAATGAAGATTCATACATTAAACAGAATCTGTTTGTTGCTTTCAGACTGCAGCGTGGTAAGAGGCACACAGTGGAGAATGGGAGCGGAGCTGAAGACAATGGAGACTCCTCCCACTGTAGCAACGCTTCCGTCCACAGCAACCAGGTATATTATCACCTACAACGTATTATCACACTTGACAACATGCATTTCTAACACTGATGTTAAACTACACTGCTATTTCATATTTCTGCTAAATAACAGAACCAGCAAACCAAGTGTCAGAGCTTAGAGACACAGCTGGAGTCAGCTGGAATTTACTCACCTGGGGTATTTTTTTAAAAGTGGCTTCAGAGAAGCTCTTTTTTTGTGTGTTTTGGCATTTGTAAATATTTAGTGTAGTGGTTGTAATATGAAGCCTAGCCAGTGGTTGTGTTACATCAATGTAAATTATGACATTCAGGAACAACTTGGCCTTCAAACACAATGCACTTCCTGTTGGTGTGTGTGTGTGGTCTTCATACAAGTCAATGGACTATGTGTTTTCATCTGTTTCCCCAGGAGGCAGGCCCGAGCATCAAACGCACCAAGACAAGTGATGACAGCGGTTTGGACATGGATAACGCTGCTGAGAATGGGGGCGGGGACTCAGTGATTGACGGTGGTGCAAGTGAAATAGAGCTTGTGTTCAGGCCACATCCCACCCTGATGGAGAAGGACGACGGTCACAACAGGTAGCGTCACACAAATACAGCTTCGGTTTTAAGAATGGGTGTCGTTGTTTTAGCCTAACTTGAAACTGGTGTTGAATGTTAGCTACAGTAGTTGCTAAGAAAGTTGCTAAATTGTAAAGCAAACGTGGGAAAGTTTGTTGTTTTTTGTTTGTTGTTGTGTGTTGTCATTGAATGTGGTTGTGTTTACACATCACCTTAAAACAACATTGCTGTTGCATTTTCCAATTTTTTTCCTGAACTTTGAACCACATTCACGTCTGGTTTCTGTGTCCCCATCAATTGTGCTTACCTGTTTGTTTACGTTTGTGTGTGTGTGTGTGTGTGTGTGTGTGTGTGTGTGTGTGTGTGTGTGTGTGTGTGTGTGTGTGTGTGTGTGTGTGTGTGTGTGTGTGTGTGTGCGTGCAGTGTGGAGTTTGTCCCGCGCTACATTAAGACGTCCGGTAACGCTACAGTGGATCACCTGTCTAAATACCTGGCCGTCCGATTGGCTCTGGAAGAGCTGAGAAGAAACGCTGAGGCCAGTCCTGTTAATGTGGAGGCAGCTTCAGAGAAACAGTACACCATCTACATACCAACTGCTGGAAACCAGTTCACTGTGAGTTCACACACACACACACACACACACACACACACACACACAGACACACACACACACACACACACACATTCTTGTACCTTTGGTTCTTTTGGTTTAGTCCTTTTGGTTAAATCTGGAAGACTTGGCTTCCATATTTATTTGAATGTTTTAAATGATTCTTGAGATTCTGAGAATCTGTTTGAAATAGAAAATGATATGTACAGATTCTTTAGCAAGAATTTCTCTTCATATGTGAGTGATGTAGATATCGCTACCATCGAAATAATATATTATTTTATATAAATCTTTCTCAAATAACACTCTAGTAATAGAAACAAACATGGATGGAAAGGATAACAGTGGATTACTGTAACTGATAAAATCCTCACACCGTCCACAGGTCTGACACTTGTGTTAACACTCAGGCAGCAACTTCTCATTTTTAGCTTTATTTTTTAGTTTTATTGGCTAAAATGAAAATGGCAGCTCATATCGCTCACAGACGTTAATGCTATGATGAACATGAGCCCGCCTCTTATACATAATAACACAAATGAGCTCTCTGTGGTGTGGAGGCTTGTTTCATTCACCACAGATAGTGAAGTGCAGGTTTTACACACTGTTTGGGGTTGTCACCCAGAAATCTTCATCGTCCCTAAAGCAGGTTTTCAGTTGCTCTATAAAATCTTGACAGAGAAAGTAAATAAATGATGAATTCTCTATGGAGTTTGGGGAATTTCCATGGTTTTATTTTAAAGAGTGGAAAGGAACTTTTTGCATATCAACTGAATTAGATAGATCAGTCAGAGAGAGCAGCTCCATAAAGGTGCACTGAAGTGTGGAGGAGTGGTCAGGCTCGGAGCAGGAAACGTGCTGCATGTCTGAACTGTTCAACTCTGTCCACAGGTTCTGAATGGTTCCTTCTCTCTGGAGCTGGTCAGCGAAAAGTACTGGAAGGTGAACAAACCCATGGAGCTCTACTTTGCCCCTACTAAAGAACACAAGTAGACACATGGAAACACACACACACATACATACACACACACACACACACACACACACACACACACACACACACACACACACACACACACACACACACACACACACACACACTCACTCACCAGTAAGAAGTAAACAGACGGACTTGGCTACACCTGCGCACACAGAAACAAGAGGAGAGGAATGTGGGTGTCTGAAGGAGATTAGGGGGGTTGGTGAAACCCTCAAAAGGACTCTTGTAAAAAGAAAAAACCTTGTTTTATATTCTCTGTATCTTTCTGTGTCTCTTTCTATCTTTCTCTCAGTAGAAGGTAGCAGATCAGTACAGCAGCTAGCAGGTAAATCACAGATAACGGACTGTGAACAGTGAGTGTAGATTCTCTCCAACTCAGAAAACCAGGGTCCAGTCACAGTCTGAATTAGCAATGTGCTGTTCTCCGAGTAAAGACATTGTATTATACTGTATTTGTCTTCAGCAAAGGCCCCTCTTCTGCCGTGTGGTCCTGGTCTGTCCCAGACGAAGGCCGACTACTTCCTGTTCCTGGATCTCACTGTGAGACACGTCCCCCGCTGGTCGATTAAGAGCGTTAGAGACCAAAACCACCTGTGTCAAACTTCTGATATTTAGGACCCACATCTACAGATTAACCAATCACAAAACGACATAAAGTAACGCTGCCTGCACAGGGCAAGGCCATAGACACATACACATCGAAGCTGACACATATGGAAGCAAACACAGGCCATAAATTTAAATGTTATAATCAACTGAAAACCGAATAATGAAATTTAAATCCCACTGAATTTGAAGCGTTGAAATATTTGACTTTGAAAACCATATATTTAAATTTATGTGGTTTGAAATTCCCTCTTTCACATTTTCAGATTATTTCAAGTTTTGTAATTTTTTTCTGAAACTCAGTGTGTGGTTTGTAGCTGCTTGTCTGAAAGGAGATTAAATAGATTCAGGCTCGACTGATTGTCCTGGATACCCTGAATGTTTAAGTTCAGACCTTTCATCAATAATTTTGAATTTCCAGTCCAAACACTTGATGTGTAGAATGAGAATATTTTGATCTGAAATTGACCAATTGAATTTGAGCACTTTTAATACCAATAATTTGTGTTTGAACATTAGATACATAAAAATTAGATACTTGAAATGATCTGCTGGACATTTGCCAGAAATTCCACATTCCTAGCCTTTAGATTTCAGTTGCTTATAAAATTCAAATTATTGTGATATAGATATATATATAAAGATATATAGTGCTATAGACATTCCTGCAAATAAACTGTAGTGTTCAAACATACAGTTGCCTGTGTGATGAAAGCATGTCACACTGTGCCAGACGGGTCTAATATGTGCGTTCACAGTGAGGAACTTTTGACCAGCAGGGGGAAGTGCAGACACATCCATCACATCTACAATACACAGTGATATGAAGCTACGAAAGTTGAAGCAGGCAAATTGGTGTTTTGTTTGTTTGTTTTCAATATTATTGCAAGTGTTCTCTGAACTTTTTTTTTTTTTTTTTTTTTTTTTTTTTTTTGTTGACGTGTCTGTCGTCTTTCAAATAAAACTAGAGATTGGTGAAGGTTTAAACGGCTGCTGTCTACAAACTGAATCACTCACAGGAAACGAGAGAAGCTGATGAATGGAGCTCTGGTGACTCTTTGACCACATGATAACAATCCAGCTGCAGCATCAGCAGGTTTGTGAGGAGTGCTGTAACAGGCTGAGGTGTAAAACCTGGACTGTGAGGAGAGTCTCGTAGCTGTTGTGTTGATCTGTTGCCTGTAGGAACAAACTGTCTTTATTCTCTGTGGCTGCTCGTTCTTTTATAAATGTCTTTTGTAACACGGAGAGGAGGGAGTTGGAGTGGGGTGGGGTGGGGTGGTGTGGGAGGGGAGGGTTTTTTTGCAGCACCATAGACAGTATTCACCATCTCATCTACTATTTGAACAAACCTACTCCCTGTGTTGCGGTCTCACCGGTGGGACATGATTGTCTGTCACTTCTAAAAGACTCTGCACTAACATGACCTCACAGAAGACGCCGGGGTCCATTTGTTTTTTGTTGTGTTTCAGTGTGAGGACAGACGTGGTGACGGTTCCGTTTTCCATGTAGCTGATGGACAGAAAGCCCAGAGCAGCTGTGACATTATTAGGATGTGAGAGCACGAGTGAGTGAATGTGAAGCTGAACATGTTTGTGCCATAAATGTGCCAATATTAAAACGCCTTTTATTCTGAACCTGATCTGGTACATTGTCCTGCTCAGAAGGAACCACAACCATGTCAGCAACATCTACAGTTGTTTAAACATGATGTTACGTTGGCCTTTCTGTTTGTGATGCACCAGGAATAACATGAGTTTGAAGAAATGTGAAGTTTCTATGTATGAGCAGTTGTGCAGAGGCAAGTAAAAGTGAATGTGGCACTGCCATGGCTGCTGCTGAAGACCACCAGGGGGGAGATACACTACTGATGAGTAATAATGAATGAACTGGTGTGTGTGTGCGGGCTGCTATCAGGTGTGGAACAAACCCCCAGTACAGCCTGTCTGTTGCAGCCTGATGCCGTTTATTGTCTCATGAACATCTGGAAACTTTTTCCTCCCTTCATTAGACACTGTCACACATTTGATAGCTGCAGGTCTGTTCACATGTATTTACATGTGGAGCAGTTTCAGTAGTGATGACAAGGGTTTTACATCAACATGTGATGTGATGATCTGAGCACATGACATTAAAAACAGAATTCAGAGTTCAGTCAATGACTGTGAGAATGTGGCGCCGTTTCCTGAACCTAGAAGCTACCACAACCATTCACTTGTGCTCTGCCCACATTATTTCTGATTATCTGACAAAAAAAAAACACCTTAACTACTTTATTTCTACTTTCAATCACATCTCATGGTCTTGCCCAGCAGACCAATTCAGCGGTTTCAACTGATCCTGTTCATAAAGTTTCTAACTTTAGGAAAGAGACATTTTGCAGGTCAAACTGTCCTGAAAGATGTTGGGTGAGAGGTGTCAATCAACTGCTCGAGTCACAACTCCATGAAAACAGCTTCATTCCCTTCTTATCTGGTACCTGTGAGTCTGAACAGCTGGGTGAACAGCTGTTTGTGTGTGTGGATCCTGTAAACTGCATCTTTCTGTTTGGACAATAAACCTGAATCTGTGTGTTCAACCAGCAACACAGAGTGCTGTTGCTGCCTCTGTCCTCTCTGGTCTAAACATGAGTTTACAGAGTAATGGGCTCTCATCACTCTCTGTCACCTTCAGGTCTCACTTCTGTCTTTCTATATTAAACTGAATTTGTCATAAGATGAAAAACAGAATAAAGTGGTTGTCAGCAGGAGAGTAAAAGTGGATTAAATGAACTTGTGCCAAAAACATCATGTGAAATATGAGGCACAGTTTGGGAGATTTGACATGATAGAAGAACTTGATTTTCCTCCAGGAAACTTCTGCACTCACCTCCTAGTGTCAAAATAAAACATGACTGCCATAATTACAGATATTTAATATAAATAAAGAACTAATGTTTTATGTTTTATGTAGTTATATGCAACTGTTTAAGTTACACAAAACCTTTATGAACTATAGGGAGATTAAAGTGAAAGCTACGTTATTATGCAACATGAGATTACTTAAATATTATCTCTCCCACAGGTGTGTACACAACACAGTAGAAAACTGAGGACTTGATGAGGCAGTACGTCTTATTTTGAAAATCTAACTTGTGCGTTATTGAATGTTCCTGAACCAAAACTACAGCGGCTCTTCAGTCAGCTTTGAGGACTCAGCATTTCCTCAGTGTTGAACCTCAACGCGCTCCAACGTAAGAAAACAGGACAAAACACAAACAACTTCAGAAAACATCATCAATTTGACAGCACGAGCTGCAAATACGCACAACATTAGTGTTTCCATGGGACATGAGCAGGGCTGAAGCTAGGGGGTGGTGGCTCACCTGGTAGAGCGCGTACCATGAAGGTGTAACCCTATCTGCAGCGGCCCAGGCTTGAGTCCAACCTGTGGCCCTTTACTCTCAGAATTCAGACAAAAAATTTGAAAAGAAAAAAGTGATGAACCTGCTGGAACACACTTGTTCCACCGTTTTCACTTCAAAAGTCACAATTGGGCATTGAACAGCAAGTCCCAGTCAGGTTCTTCACTTTTAAGTGTCCCCTGGAAACACTTGTGAGTATTTGCAGCTCATGTGTTGTCAAATTGAAGAAGATGTTTTCTGAAGTTGTTTGTGTCTTGTCTGTTTGCATGTGTTTTCTTAAGTTGCAGTGTGTTGAGCTTTCAGGGCCACTGTAGATTTGACTGTTTTGAATTTGAATTTTGAAACTGTCTCTCGCAAATACTGCTTCCTCTATAACTCCATTCATAACCATCATGAGCTCTGAAAGAGCCACAGGAGGTTTCCATTGATTCAATAGGACTTGATAGAAAATACAGGACTGATGTGAAATGTGCACCACAGCTGCTGCTGCCGCTGAATTTGATTTCTAAGTACACCTCTACTAATCCTGCCAGCAGGATAGCCTGATAGCTGGTAGCCTGATCACAACTGTAACAGCTTCCGTCTTAGCAAATCATAGACATCAGAAAAACTGAGAGGGCAGAGCTAACGCTATGAGCAACAAGACAGGAATGGAATCTGTAAATTTATTTTCTTTTTTCTTTATTTCAGATATAAAAAGAATAGAAGCAATGTGGGATTGGTCTAAATAGCAAAAAAATAGAACAGATGTTCAGAAGTTAGAACGTTAGGGAAAAAAGAACCCAGCATGCACTGGACCAAAGGCGGGGAAACACCCTGGACAGGTCACCAGTCTGACAGCCCACCCCAGAACAATCTTTTCCATTTCCTCAACCTGGATGACTCAGAGGCTTCAGAGGGAAAGGAGGGGGAAGAGGACAAGAGGAGGAAGAGGAGGAGGAGAGATTTTAGAGCGAGCCAGCAGAGGCATCAGAGCAGCTGTGAAGCAGTTTGAAAGGAGCGAAGAGCCGCTGTGGACAGAAAGTGTCTGAGTGAAGCATCCTAAGTGTCTTCTGTGTGGACTGCTGGAAACACAGACAGTGTGAGGTGCCAGCACCTCCCTGTCTCACTGCCAGCACGTCTAAATCCCAGACATGTGACTGAAAATAGTGAATGCAGAAAAAAGAGGAAGGAGTTGCATCAAGAAGACACTCAGTTCCAGTACAAAAACAAACAGGGATCATGTCCAAAAGCAGCAGCAGAAGAAGAAGAGACGTGTCTCTGTCGTCGGCTCCGGTGACTTTGTGTTCGGCCATATTCTTGTCTAATGTCCATTCACAGATGGAATCTGTTGGGTCCTGGACCATCAGACGGTCTTCCTGGCGGTCAGGACTCTGACTATGGAGCCCACCCCTCCCACAGCCAGAGCCTTAGGAAACACACACAGGGTGGAAATGACATCAAATCTACTGTAACAGACACAATGGGGAAAAAGTAGTTTCATATACAAATTAAGTTCAAAGACAATCACGGTTCATCAAGAAAATTACGAGCAATTTTTCTACATGACTGTACATGACTACATAAACGTGTAAGTATGTGTCATCTGCAGGGTTTAAGATAAACATTTTCTTCCTGAAAGGAAGAAAGAAAGAAAGAAGCAGCATGTTTACATTTTCCTTTGTCATGGAAAATGTACACATTTATACAAATACACAATCCACTGGTAAACCAGATTATATATATGCACCTAGAGAGAAATTAAAGACACCGAGTCTCTAGTTGAATGGAGTCCAACACACAAATAGCATTACAAACACCAGTTTCAGACAGATTTAGTGCAGTTTACCACATTACTGAACAGCAGTGTGTTCAGTGTGGGCTGGGCCCTCTATGGATGGCACAGAGGGGAGACCAGGAGGAGTCAGGTTTGCTGTTAATTTAGCAGGAAAGTCTCCTCTGAAGCTGCACCTCGTTCTGTTCTTAATTTACCCAATAGGAACGCTTTCTAATCATTTGATTTTAATTTAATTTAAAACAAAAAGGTGAATGTTTAGGTTATGATCTAATCTGTTCTTCACAAATGTTCATTAGATTCGACCTTCACCTGCTGTCCTTACTGTAAAGCCTTTTTTTCACTGGTCAAAAAACCTGCTAAGACCCACTAACATCAGGCTTTTGTCAGCAACGTAAAAGGCTACAATTGGCATTCACACCCGGATCACAGGACTCTGCAGTAGTCACAGGTATTTATCGGCTCTGGCTCTGACCATAAATACCCCTTTTCCTGCTGAGCACACAGACAGTGTAAACACACCTGTCCAGCATGGTGCTGTAAAACCAGAAACTCCACAGCTACACTCAGGGATGAAAGAGTGAGCTGCAGCCTCGATAAGTTTTAAAAACACATCGTAGCATCTCACACAGATGTTCTGACACTTTTACAGAGGCTCCAACCTGAAGATGAGACATGACAGATCTGTTTTACCAGTTTACACGGCAGCTAGCAGCTAACTCTCTGCTCACTGCTTCTGTGTGTGTGCTCTGTAAGTGCATGTGATGACATAACTCCTTGCAGTTGTGTGTGTCCTGAGTCTGAGCAGAAAGACAAACTCGACTGGCAGTGGAAAAGAGGTCAACCGGCCATTATTAGCGGATTTATCCATGTTCAAAAAACCTGCTTATACCTGCTAATGTTGGTGGAAAAAGGGTATGACTGTGTATACACAGTGTTATGATCCAACAAATGATGAGACTGAACACACCCTCTTCTTCACCTTCATACGACCATGAACACTGTAGCCGGGTTAAACTTTGATGACAACATTTAAAACATTTGAGGGCAGAAACAAACAGTGATGTATGGAGTGAATGGTTACATAGGTCTGGTTTACAGCTGTATGCAGAAGTGTGTGAACCCTGGGCAAATAAATACACCTGTAGCAAACAGACATTAAAATTAGTCTTATTTACTTTCTATTTCATGAACTTAGAAAATAAAAACCAAATGGTAATTGTGCCATGTGCAAAAGTTTTCATTAAATTGTCAGACTTTGACTCATTAGGGCTTATCAGCTGATAAAGTCTCTGACTCTTCAAACCTTGAGGTAACACAAACATCTGACTGAGGATCTGAAAGTGAAACTGATGCTATAAAAAGACACCAAAACGCTTCTGGTTTAAAATGATTTAACTTCATGAAATAAAAGTAATAACATTAACATATGCTCATGTTTAAATGTCTATTTGCTGCAGTCTTGTATTTACTTATTTGCCAGGGGCAAAAATCAGTAAATGTCAAAATGTATAAACAAACAACTACATTTTGCTTTGATTCAAGGATTAAACTTTCATTTGAAGTTTGTATTATATATTTGGATTGTTAAGCAGCTACAGACCTTTTCGTGCCACTGCAGCAGCACAGCGCTGCTGTTGTCCGATGGTTTCTCGAAGCCTCTGTAGATGTATTTCATCAGCAGGTCCACTCCCGCTCTGTCCAGAGAGCCCACAGCTTTCTCTATGTCACTGCTCTTAAAGCTGCTCAGCACTTTGACCACCAGCTGCTCTGCTCGCTCCTACACACACACACACACACACACACACACACACACACACACACACACACACACACACACACACACACACACACATTTGAGTTTAAATTAGAAAAGTATGAACTGCATAGTTTGAATAGTAATAAATGGGAAAAAGTCTGGTGCTATAATATTATTTAAACCTTCCATCGGTGCTCTGGTTCATTGTTGTTACAGCTGCACAATCAAGAATTCATCTGTAAAAACTAACAGCATCTTATTAACTTTTGCTGTGTGTTGTTTTGCCATTGCTGGATTATCTGCTCTCTATTACATGTGAAAATAAATCTGTATCTGATGTCATAATTTTGCAGGACACACAGAATAAAGGCTGTGTACTGACTCACTTTCTTCCTCTTTGTTTTTTTTTCTGCATGTCATTTGCACACAGTTATTAAAAGCTGAATGAGAACATTTGCTTAAACCATTGTTGAGGGCGATGCTACTGATACAGCAGCAGGTGATCAGGTAACTTCAGCTGCTCATCCATCGGCTCCTCTGATTGTTGCCTCGTGTGTCAATTTCTTTCAGGAACAAACATTTTAATTGTGTAATTGTTTTGTTTTCTGTCTGAATCAGGCACGAACACCACAGCTGTTCTTCACTTATCATTATGAGACATCTCACTCAGAAAAAACTAACTCAACACATTCAAAGATAAGAGCATAAACACTCCAGTTTGCTTGTTAAAACTTCACTGATGGAGAAGGAAAGAAAGAGGAAGTAATTTCACCACCCAAGAGCATCACTGCAGATACACACAGACAGTCAGTGAGTAAAGACAGACTCTGTTACCTTGGCATTCTGGTTCTTGGTGTTGATTGGAGGGTTCTTCAGCACAGCATGGAGAGCACCGTTCATGTTCCCCTTGCAAAACATTAGTCAAGGACCACAGAGTAGAGATACACACAACATAGACACGAGGAAATGAGAGAACTGATGCTTCGGTTTGTGCTTTTTCTTTTTGGGTTTAACAACACTAGTCAAGGCTGATCAGTGGTGGGAGTATTATTCATATCCTTTAAGAAAGCAATACCACTCTATAAAGTCACTGTGCTGCCACTAAACATCAGTTCAAAGTTTCATTTGTCACATGCCAAGGTACAAAGCAGTGAAATGAGGGTAGGAAAATAATTGAATATGGCAGCACATATCGCAATATTTTATATTACTGAATATCAGCCCAAGCCTAAATTATCAGCTTATTATTATAACTATGAATACATTAAAATATGAGCAGCAATTTAATGTTGTAGCTGGTTGAGGTGGAGCCAATTTTAATTACTCTGCATATTTTGTGTAGTTTAATAATTATTGTTGCATCACATTTTGTAAGGTTATCATACGTTTTGTGATACAGTGTAAGATCTTGAGGAGTAACGTTAACTAGTGCCTCCAGCTGTCATTAAACTAGTGGAGTGAACTGCATGTGTGCCTCTGAAATGTAGCAGATGAGAAGTATATTACAGTATGTGGAAATAAGTTAAGTAAATACACCTCCTGGATAAATGTAGTCAGTTACTTTTCGCTACTGGAGCTCCTTATTAATAACCCTGGCAGAAGTTGTAGTCATTGCACTGAACCATAAACAGAGCATTAAAATAAAGCCGTCTCAGTTTGAACAGTGAAATCACTGAGGCGACCACACCCTCCTGTGAACTGACACCCGGAAACGACATTTTGATAACTACTCGACGGAAATCTACTGCAAACTGCGCAGGAAATGTCCAATAAATGTCACTCGTTTTTCAATTTAAATTAATGCAATATCAACAGTTTAACTCAGACAATTATTTTGAGCATGTAAATTTAACTGAGAAGCACTAACTGACCATATCTACATTTCGGCCTTCTCACGGCCGTCAGTTAGCCTCATGACTGCAGGACTGACAGGTATACATGAGCCCTGTGATGAGCCACGTCGTGTCTCTGTCTGAAAATAAACTTAACACAAGAATAAAAAGTGAAGTTGAAGGATATTGTCTGAGCAGACCGTCGACTTCTGCTTCGTCCGGACCTCCCTGGTTCTCTCCTCCGTCGTCCTCGTCCACAAACTTGTTCTCGTCGTATTCATCCACGTCCACTTTCCTGAAGCGGTCGGACACCGTGTTTTTAGACATGTTTGGACACAGCAGTGGTTGTTCAGAGAAACACAGGATTTCAGGGCAGCAGATATCTGCAGTTCAGCTGTGCGGTCTACGCTTCCTTACTTCCTCACTTCCTGTTCGTCTTCTTCTTCTTTGCATTCACGGCGGTTGGCAAACTTGGTTTTACCCCCACCTACTGGACTGGAGTGCTGGAGATTGGAGGAAGTAGTACATTGGCATTCCTATTAAAATGCTTTTTTCTTTTAGCTCTTATACTACTCTCTAAGACGGAGTATTGGGGCCACATCGAGGAAAAAAAATGAAATTAAGAGAATACAGTCATAACATTACTTGAATTAAAAATGTAAAATTTTGAGAGAAAAAAAACCCTAATTTTTAGGAATATTACCAGCAACCAATAAAAGGGGTGAAAGGACAGTCAGCGCCTGAGCTGCTTCTGGCAGCTGCTGCTTGTCTGCCTAACAACAGAACAGACTCAGTTTATTCACAGTCTTCTCAATGTCGTGATGCTGATGATGATGCTGATTTGCCAAAAGATGAAGTTTCTCCTCATTAGTGAAACCTCTGCTAAAGTAGAACTTCACAGGATGCTGCACGTTCCTCATTTTAAAGCTTCTGTATGTTTGTTTGTTTTATACTATAAAACAACATGCAACTTAAAATTACAACTTTATTCTCATAATAGTGTGACCTTTTACTCAAAATCTTAGATTTCTTTACTCAATTTGCCCCTAATGCTCCGTTGTAGCTCCCTACAAGGTAACTTGAGCTATGTTTTCATTGTTGGTATTTAAGAATCTGCTTGTTTTAACAATGGTATACACACAAAACATTGTTTGAGGAGATTCATGTGCTTTTCATGTGCAGTGGTGTTCAGGAGTTTCGAACAAAACATCAAATTTAATTTTCTAATATTTATAAAAATGAGGAAAACATATCAAAGGCAAGACACCCCTATACGAAAGCCGTATTCTATCTAGGAATGAAAATAATAATAATAATTATTATTATTATTATAATTATAATAATAGTAAGAAAATTCACAACATTCTCAGGTAACAAAGTATACGATTTACAAAAGAGTATAAAAATAAAAAATAAAAAATAAAACGGTTAATTTATTAACCTGGTAATCAGTAGTAAGGAATTTATTTTGAGATAAGATTATTAAGTTTTCTGACCTGGGCATTATTGACCTTTTTTTATACATTTCTTGAATAAAGACAGTGGTCGTATCTTCCCCCACATCTATATTTTTCTGTAGGGTCAGATTTTTATTGAAACAGATTGTATCATACTACAACAAAAGGAAAGTAGAAAATGAACTCCTATATGGAAGTCGAGAAAGGCCATACTCTCAAATATAACGGATTAATAATCCCGTTATCTCCAGATAAATATTTGCGAGTATGGCCTTTCTCAGCTTCCATAAATTTTCATTGGGGAGTACCTAGAAACTTAAGAAACAAGTGAGACTGACAGTAAACACAGCGACAGAGCTGTATTTGAAGCAAACATTCAAACCTTTAATAAACAATCTACAATATGTTAAAGTTGTTAAAGAGAATATCTTGTTACATGATGATTTCCCAGACCTGATTTGCATAGACAAGGAAACCATGCGTCATGTTTAACTCCCCAATCAGTGATATTATAGACGGAACAGATCACCTTTAACAAGTGGTGCAAAATATAAATAAAAAATTAGATAATATAAATGTTGTAAAACCTGCATTAAGCTATTATGGCCACTAGAGGGCAGACAAACAAAGCAAACTAAACCAACTCCCAGCAACACATAACAATTCAATGAAATTACCAGGCAAACCGATTCTGCTTTAAATGCTTGTGACAACAACAGTGATCATTTACATTTTAACTGAGAACAGTCACGTACTGAATGTGAAACAAAATAATCAAATTCCACTTACATTACATACACACATACATTCTTCACTTTCACTTCTAAAAGCTTTGTATGAACTAAATTTCAAACTTTAATTTCAGCTCAGAACTAATTCAAACTGCATTTTAGAACAAATCTCACTTTTTGAACATGTGAATGAATTTAACCTGACTACTGACACTCAGCTCCTACATGACAAATGAATAACATTTGCTAAATCACAATGCTAAAGTATTCCACAACAACATACTGTGCAACTACAGCATGCTAGGAGAAAAAACAGGAGTTATGGACAGTTTAAACAAGTTCTCCACCTTCTCAAGTTTTCATTTCTGTATAACACTCCTAATCATTTCTGCAGAACTTATTTTATTCTTCCATCTCATATCACTGATTCATTTCCTCTTAAAGCTCTTAACAGTTCATTTTGCTTCTTCTCACTTTTTTCTTTCTTTTTTTTTTTGTTGTAAAACTCATTGAAACTTCTGATATCTTTCATACCTTGCTGTACTATTGTAAGTTTCATTATCTTACATTTGGCTGCATATTACAGTGTTTACTACAGTGGTTGCAAATCAAATTATGCAACCAAAGGCATTTGCCCGGTCAGTAATACACAAATGAAAATTTGGCTCAAACATTCACTTAGACTCAAGGATGAACTGATTAGACTTTGGTGGTCAAAGGTCAAAGGTCAAGGTCACGGTAACCTCAGAAAACATTTTTTTAGCCATTACTCAAGACTTCACAGTAATTATGACAAAATATCACACAAATGGTTCATATTTTCTCTGACTCTGGATAAACAGGATGTAACCTGAAAGTAGTCTGAGTGGAGGAGGCAGACAGCCACCAGGAGGTAATTCCATTTTTTTTTTTTTTAACTGAGCAAAGGAAATATACAATAATTCAGGGAGGACAACAGCACATAAAACCTGAATTTAAATGAGTGGAAATGTTAAAAAACAAATTCCTTTAAAAAATGAGGAAAAAAAGAGGAAGGGAAAAATAAAATAAGGGGACTCTTTATAACTCTTTTTGTTTTTAATAAACTGAGTGATTTGAGTAGAGAATTCAGTTCAAGAGAAAAGGTGAAAATTTAGTCCCCCTCCCCCCTTTAGTCCCCACCTTCTTACTGGAATGAAGCAGAACCTAGAGATATCCTCTGTATGCTTCTACTTTCACTCACAGCTTTATTTTCATTTTACCCACTTACTTCTTCTGTCACAAAACTACAAGCTCAACATATGGTGAAAACTTTGGTTTAGATTGGAAACTAACTTTATATCTGTTGTGAGGAAGTGTAATTCTGACTCAAAACACTGACAAGGGAAAATAACAAGAAATTCAGCTGAATCAGACAAAACATTGCTGTCCTGGTGAAAAATAAGAACCATGTTTGCAGATTTAGTATACATGAAGAAGGCAGGACATCGAGCCAGCTCACCTGATGAGCAGAGCAGATCAGATGAGACGAAAGATCTGAGCTCTCATGAACAATGGATCACCTCCATTTCCTTCACTGTTACTCCTTGTTGTCGTGGCTACAGATACACAGTGCCAGTCTCCATCTGTACTTAGAGGATGTGGCGATGGCTCTGCCCACAGCCAAATATAAACTACAGGAAATTCTTTGTGAGGAACTGGCAAAGATTTTCCCAACAGACTGAAGTAGGCCTACATGTTTTACTGCCTGATCCACAACCAGAACTGAATGTGAACAATGTTCATGAGAAATGACATTGGATTTAAATAAAGCACAGCGATTATTTCAAAAGGGAAACACACTAAGAGCTGCAAGATGAAATCACCAATATTCTTTTCTACAAGACAGATGGTGAGGAGTCCTGAAAGACTTCCACTGGGATCTGGACTGGTGTGGGAAAGATTCATTGAATTCATTGACTCATTAAAGAACACTGGGAGAGCAGGGACTTCAACAGATCTGGTTGTTTCAAGTCTTGAGCAATAATTTGTTTGTACACCACAGTATCAGAAATTCAATCTCACCCTTTGTCAGGGTTCGAATTATGGGGGGAATTGGGGGTCAGACCCTCTTAATTGAGACTAAGTAATTTAGCTAACTAATGTTAGCTGAATTCTCATTTAGATTGCACAGCAAAGCAGAAAATGCGTGCAGTATCTACACATGAACTCTAATGTTAGCTTGTTTCTCATGTTAGCCTTAAGTTAGTTTAACTAACTAATGTTAGCTTGGTTCTAACTTTAGCCTTAAGTTACACTTAGCTAGCTAACTAATGTTAGCTGATTTCATTTCCAGTGTTAGCTTTTCATTTCATTACCAATATACAATGTCATATATGCGTGTGAGACATGTTAGCAAACACTGGTGCTCAGTCATGAGCAGTGAGACAATGGAAGATTAGTTGTCGTAGAGATATGTTTTGACATCAATGTAGAGTTTATTATTTCCTTTGGTGTGCTGAGTTTTGCAGTCTTTCTGCAGTGTCTCTGAAACAATGACTCTAAACAGACTCAGGGTGAAGGAGTATCTTTACATTGCAACAACAAAGCCTTCATGCATTAAGAAGAAGTTTCCACAGTTGTGTGTGGTGTGGCCTCTTTTATTAGGTCTGTCTTGAGATCTTGTATTCAAAGTAAGGTGTTAATCCCTTAGTGACGGTTATTTGAACTATAACTAAATTTTGAACAAAGCCAGCCCATAGAGCTGCTTCTAGTTGGATCAACACTTAGGGCCTTATTTACTAAGATCCCAAATAAAGAGCGCTAAATTGCGTGCGCTGCCTGTTTGGGGCTTGCGGGTGATTTACTTAGATTAACAGCGCAATTGACTACAGGTGCAAAAGTGATTGAGCCTGCCCTATTTAAATGAGGATTTTGCGCGAGTTAAGGGTTTCACCATGGCGAATGCAAACGAGCAGATCCAACGGAAGCGCAAAAGCAAATTTGAAGCCACGGAATTGGAGGTGCTGGTACAAGAGGCAAACAAGCCCATTTCTGAGTTCCATAGCAGGCACTGCATGACTCCTCCTTGTGACTGGATCCAAATCAGCTCCTACTTCACGGAGAAGCTCCAAAATGGCATCGCCGGATAACCGATATGTCTCGATTATTTTTTCTTCTGCCATTCCAAAAAGAGTGACACGAACAGAAAAGATGCGTTCTCTCCGTTGCCTGTCGTGCCTACGCCGCCTCCTTGCAACAATGACCGCAGCCATCTGTGCGCACGGCTGTGCCAGGTAGCCTAAGACTTGACTTTCAAACGTGCTAAATATAGACGCAAAAATAATCAGCGCAATTAGTTTGAGGTTTGGTAAATCACATTGCGTGCGCAAAATGATTCTATTTGCATCTACTCCTCCCAATATTTTGCGCGTTCTGGCAGGCACGCTTATATTGCATATTCATGAAGGCAGAAGCGCAAAATGGATAGCGCGTGTTATTTTGCCCGACTGACAGACGCAATCCTCGGTGCGCCCGGTTGGTAGATCAGCATCAACATGTGTTTGCGCGTGCTGTCGCGTTTGCGCACGTTTTTACGCACGCAAAGCTTTAGTAAATCAGGCCCTTAGTGCTTCAGATCAAACTAGGCCCACCAGGCTGTAGTGGGACATATGGACATACTACTACTACTGAAGAACAGACTGGAGGAGCAGCAGTACATTCTCTGTTGTGGTGTGTAATTAAGGTGTGTTGGCTCCTATGATTCAGTAGCTGTTTAGCTTGCCCACATCTATAACATCTGTTACACAAAAGTAGAATGTCCCACAAGAGGACACTGGTCAAAGCAAGGTGTTCATCTGTTAGCGCCACTACCTCTGTAATAACTCATTTCATATACACTTCTTCCTGGTTGTCTTTATATATGTGATGTATAATCTTTGCAGATTTGAATAATCTTCAATTCAGAGCTTTATTGTCCTGCAAAGGGGAAATTCTTTTTGCGGCAAGGCCTCATAAAAACATACAAACAATAAAAACATAGTAAGACAATAAAAATGCCGCAAACAATTCAGAATGAAATACAGGGTATGTGATACAAGCATAGAAATCCACAACACGAAGTATAAAGATCAGAAACATAAAGTGCTAAGCTGTGTGAGGAACCAAGAGGCAGTATATAATATATTTGAATTAAGAGCACTTACTGCATATGGGGTAAGACATGGAGTGAAAACAGATAATGGGATAAGAGACCAGAGGGAGAATGTCAAATGTTCTGTTATATCAGGTCTGTTCCCAGTTTGACACAGTAAACTAGAATAACACTCAGTGGAGCACATACGTCTGCCCAGGCACAACAATCCTACATTTTCCACCAGGTCTGGATTATTATCTGCATCTGCAGCAAACTGTACAGATTTATAGAACACCATTAATATGTCTTATTTTTGTGCATCAAGATCCATAAATTATTTCCTGAAAAACTTTCGAATGTCCTATCAAATGTCCTATTTTGCAAAAGTAAAAAGGGAAGTTACCCATCCCTCCGTAAGTCTGGTGCAATTCGGTTCAGTACTTTTTGTGTAATCCTACTGACAAATAAACACAAACAGACATGGGTGAAAACATGACCTCCTGGGCTGTGGTATCGACGTCTCCACATTAATGATTTTTTTTCATGGTGGGGAAACATCTCCGGCAACTTATATCAAGCAAATAGCGTTTTTTTCCCCCCACAAATATTTAGGAAACCAGACTACATTAGATATTAAACACAATGTTTTAATTAGCAAATCAGAATTAATTCAACTAAGCTGTGCAGGCTTTTAGAAAAGATCACCTTCAACATACATCGGTTGCTTGTAGTCTAATGCCATTGTATAGATGTAATGCAAAAACAAAACTACCTTAAAATAGCAACATGATAATGAAGTCACATGTCTGAGTTTGTATAAAAAGTACTTTACATATTGACAATATTAATGTACGTAGTGGTAAACAGTCCTAGTGCTTCATTAGTATTTCAAAGAAAGCGTTTCAGATGTGGAACGACTGTTGGGAAAACTCTTAGTAGAAACACTGGTTGAACTGGACAAGAGGTTTTCCTGCCTTCCCATTACAGGTCTATGACTAGATAAACACCTTAACAATTGTAAATTTCCATCTTATAACTGGCAGTTTTCCGAATTAACATTGCAGTGGCTTGGGCAAATATAAAATCAGAGTGCATCTTGGCTGAGAGTGCAGTTTGCACTGTTACAGTTCCTACTGTTTAGGTAAAAAGCCTGAACTTGCTGCCATCGAGAGGTGAAATCATGAGCCGTGCTGAGCCTGGAGAGTAGAGAGGCCGCCACATGTTCCTCCAGATGACCGTACAGATTCTGGAAACCAGCAGGACACACGCCAACACCAACAGCACAACTGATGGGACAAAGCAGAAAAAAAAGTCAGTGACAGCCTCAAGAAATTAAGTTAGCCTCAACTTTAAAAATGGAAGTTATTTTAGGGAACGCTTCAAAGCAGGCTATGATTTTCTATTCTTTTAAATGTAATCAGGCTCATTTGATAAAACTGTGACTGTGCAACTTACACTGACACCTTACAATGAAAGGATGAGAGGAGATTTGGAATTTATTTGTTTTGCCCTGTCTGACTGCAATGTGTTGACCTGGGACTAGTTCCATGTAAGCAGACCTTTCTCCAGTCAGTGCTGGAGAAAGGTCTGGCTGCACCCATTAGAGACCAGGACAAGAGACTGGACAAGCTGGTCACAAAGGCTGGGTCTGCACTTGGCAGGGGTCTGGACTCACTCAGGACTGTTGTGGAGAGATGCATGCAATGTAAGATGGAGGCCATCTTGGACAATACCAACCATCTTCCCCACAACATTCTGGCAGGACAGAGAAGCAGCTACAGCTGCAGCAAACGTCTCATCTCACTGCACTGCAGAACAGAGAGGTTCAGGAGATCCTTTGTTCCCACTGCCATCAGGCTATACAACACCTCAGTCAAAGGAAGTGGACTAATCTAATTATTATCTATCTATCATCATTCTGCTATAGAAAATCATCTTGGGACAGTACTCTTGCAAAATAGTGTCTGAGGGGAACTTGTTTTGGTGGAACATTTGCCGGGTGGAGGTGAGCACTGTCATCAAAATGTCTAATTCCCTGCAGAGAAAACACCTCAAAAAACAGCAAAGATGTATGACTTGTGATTGCATGATGCAAATCTTGAGCAAAACCTTCCATTTACAGCTGTAGGTTGGGGCACAGAGGTTGTTGTTGTTTCCCGTAACAGTTAAAACAGTAGCAAACAGGGGAAGTGGAAAGGCAGGACAATGCCGCTTTGAATAGGTGCCCAATGGCAGGATTATGAGTCAGACTAACCCAGGACACAGACAGTATTAATGTCAGGTGTAAAGGTTGTTACACTCCACTATGGCGGGTGCTGGTGAAGTCACAGTAACTGATCTTGATGTTTGTGTTAAACTCACCCATGAACACAGTATTTGGAGTGGGATCATCTGGGTTAAAATGTCTGAAGACGTTTCCAACCAGCGCCACAATCACCACAGGGTAGACTGTCAGGATGTTACGCACCCAACGGTCCAGCACCCAATTCTCAAGGATGAACCTACACACACACACACACAATTCAGATTCAGTGTTTTCTTGCAACAGCAGCGTTCTCTTTACCTCCAACAGCTGATGTACAAAGAGATCTTAGTTCAATCAATGAAGTGATAGATGCATGATAAAAACATTCATTATCAGAGATGAACTAAAATTGAATCAATCTTCTAGTAGTGTGTTACTCTTCTGCTCATCATTTAACTTTGTCCAATCAGAGCTCACCATGCCACCACCTCTGCAAACAGGATGCACAGAGAGGCGGTTGCTGCTGTGCTCCTGTCCACACCCCACAGATGGAGAACCAGTGAGAAGTTGATCAGAGAGGCGATGGATGTCCATGTGGTGTACACAGCCAAACCGTTCTGGACCTGCGCATATGAACATGTATAAGCACACAGATGTTATTCAGAGGAGACAGACTGGACTTACAGAAAACAGATTCTTTTTCATCAACAACATCCTGAATAAAGAGCAAACATGGTAACATTTGTCTGTGCACACTCACGATGCCCTACCAGTATTGTGAGACAGGCCAGGTCTTTGCGATGGTATGTCTTCAACCACATTCCATAGTAATCTGTGGCAAAGCAACAGAAGAACAAGGCACTGTAGTTGGAAATGGCGATCAGGATTAAAACAACCAGAGCCGCCAGCATCAACCTTTGAGAAGGAGAGAGAAAAACAGATGGGCCATAAATCTATTACAATTACATTTCCACAGGGATTTTTCACCTAGTGAAACCTATCTAGGGCCTGGATATGGTCAGTCATAACATACTACCGGATAAATTGTATGTGTAAGGCAGATATAATCAATTGAAATTAAAAAGGGTTCAGTTGGAAAAATTGTATATAAATAATAAATACTACTTCTCTAATAATAATTAAAAGGGCTGTAATAAATGCATCATAACAGACATCATAAACAGACATCATAAAAGAATCATGAGGATTGGCTGAGTAGCATCACATAACCAGTGCCGTAAAGGCTAGAAAAGCTGTGCTGGTTAAAATGAAATATGCCGTCAAAATTCAAAGGTCAATATAGTATAAACATAGATGTCCATGTGTTGTTTGATTATAAAGCAGGTCTAGGTTCTAAATTAATACTGGGAAATATCAAAGCCTCAGTCCACAGAGAAATGCAGACAGCCTGTATTCAGACACTGAGCCTTAAAACCAGCCGTCAGGACTTCTGGAACTTTGTGATGTCACAACAAAGCAGTCAAAGCAGTTGAAATGATAAAAGAACATATAGTTATTATTTTACTATTATACAGAGAAGGTATTGTATATAATCAATCCTAGCCTTGCTTTATATATTATTAATTTTTCCTTTATGAGGAATCTAATGTTCATTTTCATCATTAGCATTCATGTTATTTACTTCTTCATATAGTGTTTACATCAATCCCCAGTGCACCCTGCCTAGTTTTAAACATGTGTTAATGTTAACTTGAGTTTAGTCAGAGGGTGTTTCTAGTCCATGCTCTTCTGGACACTCTACCCTCACCCTCAGTTGTCCACATATAACACTTACTTTCATAGTATTTTAAATCATTCTTTGTTTTCTGTGTTGCTGTTTTATGCTTTTTCTGTGTAAATATACATGCTACTAAGTAGAAACAGTGGACATACTCTCTGTCCCACAGCAGCAGCCATGCCATGTTCATCACCATATTGGCCAGCCAGCAAAAATAGAAGGCACAGGGCAGCAGGCACTGAGCCCAGGATCTATTAACAGAAAGAGAGGTATCAGTTTCATCTGCACGTTGCTCTGAGTAACGACTCCTATCAGATGGGTTGAATCTACATGAGTAAATATTTACTATGACCACTTTGATGTGAGCTTACCCTCTGAATACATATGTGGTGATGTATATGACCATCAGGGTGAGCCAGGTATAGATAACACCCCAGATAGAAAAGGTCCAGCCAGCTGGAGTGATGTCTGTCTCATAGCGGGCTGACACATTACCAGTAGAGGAATGGAAAGGTCCTGGAAAACAGCAAAGACATTCAGCCACAAGAGCATTAGTAAAAACACTAATGTTGTCTGATATGGCCGGGTTCACTGTTCCAGTTCATCCCAAAGATATTGGATGAGGTTGAGATCAGGGCTCTGTGCAGGCCAGTCAAGTTCTTCCACACCAATCTGGGATTTATGAAGTTAGTTGCGTGCATGGAAGCAATGCCATGTTCAGACAGGAAAGGGCCAGAAAACTGTTGTCTAAAATAATGACTGTAGGCAGTAGTATTAAGATTTTCTCTAATTGGAACTAAGCATGAAAAACCATGATGATGGATTAAAGAGCCCTCTATGAACATATGAAATGAGTCAAAACAAAAGGATTATTCTGTTATTGTTACTGAGAATGGCAGGCATCTGCAAAAAAACAAAAATTAGAGACCAACACATTATCTGTTGTCCATCATGAGCATTGAACAGGAACATTTCATTTCAGGAACGCTGTTCTCTACTCTCTACTAGTGCAGTGGTGGAAAAAGTACACAGATCCTTTAACAGAGAAAAGTAGCAGGAAAATGATCTAAAGATAAATCCATTACAAGTCAAAGTCCTCCATTCAAAATCCCACTTCAGTACAAGTACAGAAATATGATCAAAAAACTATATTTAAAGCATCAAACTAAACGTTAATATGCAGTTAGACAGTTTAGTCTAGTGGTTCCCTAGAGGTTTGGGCTTCCAGTGAGTCACTGAATAACTGTGACTCACTGGGAAAAAAGTTTTGCGCACAAAATTATATTTATTTTCTTTACTTGCATTTTCTCTAAATTTCAGTTTTTTGGAAACATTGAATAAATGGATCTCTTTGGGCCTTGAACAGTAACTAATGAAACTGTATGAGAAACTTTGAGGGGAAATCTCTCAGCTAATAGCAAACAGATGTGATAAGGAATCCCAAACCTCTTTTGTGAGAGGTGACAGGCCAAGAATTCTGGCAACCCTTCGTTTAATCTTTAACAACGTACTGAGTTTCAGAAACGTATGTTTTCTTGTGTCAAATCTGAATCTGAAAGTAACTAGTAATTATAGCTGTCAGGTAAATGCAATGGAGTAGAAGTGTAAAGTAACGAGTAAATAATCAAAGTATCTCAAAACTGTATGCAAGTACAGTACTTGAGTAAATGTATGTAGTTACTTTCTACCACTGCTTCACTGCATGTAAACACACTGGCTGTTACTCTGAATAATCCACATATCATTTTGTCAACAGTTCATAGGGATTCATTTCTTGAAAATGACTCTGAAAAAAGAACGTTTTCAACCGTGGGTGAAATGTAGCATAGAAAGATACAGTTCTCGGCACCGAAGTGGGTAGTTTAATAGAAACTGGCTTGTACAAAAAAAGAAAGAAGAAAATAATGCAACAATGTGTTACAGCACACTTGAGACACTAAGGGGAGAATATGTTCCATCCATTTCCTGAGCCTGGAACTGGATTTTAGTGCCACACCCCATCCAAGGATGAAACCCCAACCCTTTTTTAAAATAAGTTTCCTCTCAAACAGCACCAGTGGCAGTAGGACACCAGAGGGTTCTTAGTTTACTGGAATTATGTCTTTGGTTGGAAGTATTTTTAATAAAAACCTCTACAAACTTATTTCTGTTGACAGAGATGTTGCTGTTGATTTTTTTTTTTTTTTTACTATTTTTTTTAATGCTGTGAGAACCACAGGCTAAATTTCATGCGACTCCATTTTGGATGGAATTTAGATTAGGATTAGGGTCTAAATGTTTGATGAAAACGTGATAAAGGAAAAACATCTATTTTTTTGCTAAATTTAGGTGGGCCTTTTTGTATGGTGCAAAATCAAGTATTTTTCGTCTTAGAAAGTTATTGCATTGTCTCGAAACAGAACTGCAAATTTTCACTAAAAAGAAGCAGCCAGTAACTCTGGCTAATTACATAACTATTAGCTAAACATGCTAACTCACACATACAAGGTCATGGAAATAACTCCTGGTTGTGCTGTAACAATGGTCATGACATAATGAGCTGCCAGCCGTACATCATTAACTGACTCCCCTGCCCAGTTTCATAACCAGTGGTTACACGGCGTTTTACTGAGAAAACGGCTCTTTCGTAAGTCACGTCACATTAAACATGTTCAGGAGAATGTAAAAGTACTTCAGACAGAACATTTACGTTAACGTTAACTCTAACTTATCGCTGTGAAAAACATTCAAGTGTATTACTGACATTACTTTGACTCACCTCTTCCCGCTCCGGCCAAAGCATTGACAACTAAAACGGCGATAAAAACCACAGCACACACGATAATCACGCAAATTCGGGGCAAACTGTTGTCTTTCATTTTGAGTGGTTTACTGCCTCGTCTGTAGTCTGCTCCTGTTTATCTGTCAGTGACCGTCAGGGCGGAGAAAGAAAGAAACAGAAACGCACGTTGACCAACTGATGCGTTCACGTGCTCTATGTAAACGCCCACAGCCATGTATCAAAGCGCTCAGTTTTCACTAGAGCTCAGTGTTTTCGATTATATAGGCCTAGTTATATGAATAAATCAGTGCTATTCAAACCGACATCGACACCGTGGAGCAGTAAACTGTTTTCCTAATTATCAAAGGTTTGAGGATCTTTAGACAAAGAAGCATTTGAGACGTAATGGCGCCCTCTACAGTGGGAAATAAACACATCAAGCCCCTAAACAAAAATTGTGACCTCAGTAGCTGTAGGTAGCCTACTGTATATGTGCTGTAAAATCACTTCAGTTTCAAACCTTTAAGTTTCCATGTCGCTTACGAATGTGTATTGACGAAAAAATATTGAATTATCTGCTGTTGTTTAGAGGCCGCTTAAACAGAGAGATGCAAAACACACTGAAATGTCTGCAAATGTCTGTACCAATACTGAAATTTCAGTCATTGAAACTATAACTTGCTGAACTACTTTGCCATGATATTTCCTCTCAGTATTGATGAGGTTCTGTATTGCAAAGTCTAATCTTTTTCACCCACGTCCTTGTTTGCTGCTGTGTGTATTGGAAATGGTTGGAAATGCAATGCATACATTTTGTTAAAAGAGATACTTTTTGTTTCATTTTTTCTTAAATTACAAATATTACAGGGACACACCATTGATTTTACACATGAAATTAAGTTTAGATATCATCACTACTACTAGTACTGGAAGCTGAAAGCCTGCTATGTGTCTTCTATGGCTTTAGAGCAGCTTTCTTATTTGAAAAAATAACCCTGATGAAAGGCACAGTGGTTAAATCATTGTATGTTTAAATCCTACATTCTAAAGATTGATTTCTCCTGTGTAAACACAGGAACATCGGTGGTGATGGTCAGACATTTTTATGGATATGTTTATAAGCAAAGACTCACTCAGATTAGACTGAGTAGAGAGTTCATCCCTTTTAATTAATGTGAAATCCAAGCAGGATTCTCTCCAACTTGATGGATCTGATGGAGAAAAGTTGAAGGATGACAATGATGATGATACCAGAGGCTTCTTTATTTGTGACTTCTGTGAGAAAAAGGTCAGTCTGAGCATACAGCAGCTATCAGGCTTCTCTCAAACACTAGAGTTATGACTATTAATTCATTGTTAAGTACAATTGTGGTTTTCAGTTTTGATACTGCCTGATAGGCCTGTGGGACCGTTGCACAATTAATACAGTGTTAGAGAATATGTTTGAAGGAGGGTTAGCGCTGAGCACCAGAACATGAACATTTTACAGCTGTTACTCCTGAAGTAGCAGTGCCTGGCCACATATTCTCAGTGTCCCACTTCTGAGCCCTGGACTATAAGCCTCAACCAGGAATATTCCTGCCCCATGAACAATAAAGCATTAGGTAATAAACAGATGTGCCAGTTCATCTGGTACAGTGGCATCCTGGTTGCAGATGGCTGAAAGTTGAATTAAATGTCTTCTCCTCAATTTGTGTTTTAACACATGAATTTACAATATTGATTAATACTAGATGTTGATAGGGAATGAATCCATAATGGCAGACTTAAATAATAGCAATTCATAAACGACTCAGTGACTCTCTCTCTCTCTGATTTAGTAAACATTGATGCATGGCTTAATTCTTAATGAGTAATACATTAACTTATAATGATCTGTGCATTAGGTAAACAATAATGACTGCATATTAGTGCACCAGAATTTTACTTTCATTTCACAATCAGGTTATAAACAACTTAGTGTATTGGCTTTGGAAATGAGTATAGTAAGAATAAAGTCTCATTTTATTTAAGTTAGAGAACTGCAAACCCACAAACCAAAAGCATGATATAGACAGATATCTATTAGACTGACCAGTGAATATGCCAGGTGGCCTGAGGGTTAGCATAAATGGCCGCCCAAACACCTTCAGGCTGTTGGTGTTCACACAGTGGGCCAGATCCCTGGAGAAGGGGAGGAGAGAGCTCTGGTTCTCGCTCACCAGGCTGAAGCTGTAGCCACAGCAGTGGCCGGTTGAATTCCTCCAGACTCACCCTGTTTAGAAGACAACAACAAACAGGAGCAAGTTTGTTGCATAGACAAAGGCAAGACTAAAGATGACTTACAACAGAGCCAGACCAATGAATAGATGGTGCACTCACAGAGGCGACTGCCAGGCTGGTGTTTACAGAGGATGGAGGAGAAGGGCTGGGGGTTCTCAGTGAGGTAGACTGTGACCCACCAAAGAGGGATTTTGTGAACTTAATTAAAATTAAAATACTATGAAAATATTCACCATTGATAAACTCGGAGGGGAGCAGGAGGGGGGCTGCAGGGAAAACTGCAGGGCTGCAGCTGTAATCAAATACTGATTTATATGAAAAATCATTGAAACCTCAAAGATAAGAGCCCATCATTTATTATAATTCTCCCTGTTGTTAGTGTTAATTATGTCAGTGTGTTATGAGTGGCACTGTCTGTCCTCTGAGTGATTTGTGGACTGAGTAAGTTCTGGAGGTGAGATGAAAAGTTTAGTGAAGATGGATGATGCTAAATTTGGACGACAGTATGATGAAGACGCTTCAGTGTTGACTGATGCTTGTTAGCAACTGAAAAAAACTGTAATTGGTCATAAAATGTGACCTGATTTTTAGACAGTACAAACACAATGTGCCTAATATCACTCAAACAATTACTGTATAAACGTTTGTGGTTCGTATTCTGGGCACTTCTGCTTAACACTGGCATGGGCTACAGGCCCCCAGCCCTGGCTACTTGGGCATTGGAGGACCTTATACCTGGTCCCTGAACTGGGCTCTGCATGTCAGCCCTTGGCAATGGCTATTGGTGCCTGGGCCTTGCTGGATTTGTATGGATGGATGGCCTCACACCTGCTCCCTGAACCAGGTTCAGTTTCTCAACATCTGGCACTGGTTATTTCTTTTTTGTTTATTTCTTTGCATCCTTTGTTTTTTTTGTTCTTGTTTTTGTTTTGTTTTTAACTTTGCGTAATTTAGGGTGGTGTCGAAACAGTTCTGATCATCAGTGCCAGGGGTTGAGAATCAGAGCCTAGTTCAGGGACCAGTTGAAAAAACCAGTGCCAGATCTTGAGAGCCAGAACCTTGAAAAGGGAACAGGTGTGAGGTACCAAGGCAAATTCAGCCATGGCTTGGCTTGCAGTCAGTGCCAGGGGTGGAGATGCAGAGCCTGGTTCAGGGACGCAAGGGTTTGGGGCCAGGAGACAGTGCAAGGGGTTGAGAGGCAGAGGTCATTTCAGGGACCAGGAATGAGGCCTTCCATGAATCAAGCAGCCAACGCTGTGGACCTTATGCAAGTGCCAAGGGATGTAATGCAGTCAGGTTCAGTGGACATGTGTGAGGCCCTCCAATGCCCCAGCAGCCAGGGCTGTGGGCCTGGAGCCAGTGCCAGGGGTTTGAGAACCAGAGCCTGGTTCAAAAACCAGGTGTTAGGCCATCCCAGGCCCAAGCAACCAGAGCTTGTCACCTGAAGCCAGTGCTATACACCCACATGCTGTACAAGTACTGCTGAGTGCTAAAGCATAGGCAGGCACATGTTGTGCAGTCACAGCGCTAATGAGAGAGAGCAAGAAACTGTTTCGTCTCCACCCTGAAATTAGCAAAAAAAAAGAGGGAGGGGAGCTTATTTTTGAGATACACATGGAGGAGGACCAAGGAAGGCCTGACACAGGAGGAAGGGTTGCGAAAAGACCAGAACCAGAAAGCCAGGGATTGAAGCCTTGGGCCCATGTGAGGGGTTGAGAACCAGAGCCTGGTTCTTTTTTTTTTTTTTTGCTCACTTCACGGTGGTGCAGAAACAGTTTTTCGTTCTTGTGCTGTTACTGTTCAGAGTTGACTGTCTATAACATATGATTCAGCATTACCTGTATGACATGTGCATGTCTATACTTTAGCACTGTCTCCAGGTGACCAGCCCTGGCTGCGGAGAAAAAAGTCCAGGTCCGGGCCAATGTCTAAGTCTAGACTTCTTCACCAACACTTAACTTTCAACAAAGCTGCACTTTTACTGGAGTCAAAAAGACTCAAAAAAAAGTCACTGGAGATGGTCAGAGAACAATACAATAGAATTTATTCTTTCACAAGAATAAAAATGAGATCAGATGCGGATCCGGATCCGAACTGAAGACAGAGTGCCTGTGCACCATCATATATTTTTAAGTAATCCCTCCTTCTCCACCTATTTTCTAAAGCAAACCTACCTGCCATGGGAACAATGGTGTCCAGCCTCACCTGGAATTTCCCCCAAACCAGGCCTGCCAGGGTAAAGTAGTGGTGACAGGTGTCCAGAAATCCCCTCTCTATCCCCAACCTGGGCCTCCACGGCTGCTCTCTAACACCATTGTTCCCAGGGCCCTTCAGAACATTTAAAAAAAAAAAAAAACTTTATTCCCTCCAGGTTCAATTCTATAACAAACTTACTTCAGCAAAGGCCGGTTCACATACAAATCTGTGAATATTGCTATTTCATTGGATATATAAGTTTAACATTCAATATGTTTATAATGCATAGTATATTTTAGTGAAAATTTACTACAAAAAATTCACATCAGGTCCCTATACCGAGCTCTGGTCTCACCTGACAGCTGTGGCTCCATGGCCCCAGGAGAACTTCACACTGGCGCCTTGGCCCAGACTAAGGATTTCAATCTCTGGCACTAGTTCCATGCTGCCAGCTCTTGCTGTTTGTGACTGGGAGTGGCTCACACCGGGTCTGTGGCTCTTCTTCTTAGACCCTGGCAATGGTTTGAGGCCCCCTGCCCTTGCTGCTTGGGCATTGGAGAGCCTCACACTTGGTCCCGGAACAAGGCTCTGGTTCCCAACCCCTGGCACTGGCTCCACACTCACAGCTGTGGCTCCTTGGCCCCAGGAGCACTTCACACTGGCCCCTTGGCCCAGACCAAGGATTTCAATCCCTGGCACTGGCTCCAAGCTGCCAACCTTTGCAGT